AAGAAGAGAAGTACAATGCCATCTATTGTCAGATAGCGGAAACCTATCGAAGGTACTCGACTTGTGAGGAATGTTCTCGACGATTCTAGGGATGTCGTATCGACTTTATAAACTTTACAGAGATGGCACGCAGTCAGTCAGTAATCGAAACTACTCGAAGCGAAACAGCGAACGGTTTACCTGAAGCGAAGCGGAAGAAGCGAATTCAGGATTTTAAAGTGTTCTATGTGTGCTCTTAATGATTAATACAGTTTTAAGTTGTACTTTGGTGGAACATTTATTTAACCCGAACCCCAGTGCGTAATAATATTTTTCTTTAGATAAATCACATTTTTCAAAACATTTCACATGGTTTTCAAATCTGATTAGTATGTATAAACTGCAACAAGCTGCAAGCTAATAGTGACACGTTAATCCACTGAGTTTCTTGTCGGATTTTCTTAGTGGGTCGCGATTCTGATCTGAAGGTAGATTCTACGAAGCACTGCTCTTGCTTGGGCTAGTGTGAACAAATTCTCTCAGGTTAAGCCCGTGAGCTTACCTACTCGTCCGCGTGTTGCTGGAATTAGCCCTTAGGCTACCATCGAATAGGTAGAGGAAAAAAGATGATCTGGTAACTGTGCTATGATTCGATCCTGGGATAAATAGCTGCAATATACGTATCCGAGACTATGACCTAAACACAATAATAATGCGCAATTCTAACTGTAACCTAACGTTTACAGCAGACGGTGACAGTCGCGGCCATCATACGAATAAAATAAAAACACAAAATGTAGGCACGCAATTCGCTATGTATAAGTGCTTGTTCACATAGGAAAGAGCGGCGCGGCGATGGGCGCGGGCGCGGTAGGCGTAGCGAGTTCGTGTTCCACTGTTCACATTAGCCGCCAGGCGTTTGCGCGAGTTTGACTGTTTTCAGAGATTGAAAACGTGGACGACAATCTTTTATTTTGAACCGAAAATTCATACCTAAAGGGGGCGATGATAACAATAATTATTATTAGAATCGTTGTGCATGAAATTTATAAAGAAAGAGAACGCTATGGTGAATTTCATACCTTTATTCATATTTCTTCTGTATTGAAAGACATATCGTTTCTAGCGACAAGTTCAAAATGGTTGAACTTACCTTTTTTTTTTTCCCTATCTATGCTGATAGCCTTGAGAGGCTATTTCAGCTTCACCCTAACGTGTGTAGGTGAGCTCACAGGGCTCAAACCGGACTGTTGCTAACACTGACCCTAGCAAGAGCAGTGCTTCGCAGAATCTACCACCGGATCGGAAACGCGATCCACTGAGAAGATCCGGCGAGAAACTCAGTGGGCTGTGTATGGGTTAATTCGCTCGTCGAGCCCTTCGTCGCAAGCGACGGGTTCGCCTAGGACGGTGACTTACCTGACGTCGCGAGTGAATCGCGCGCTTCGCCGCAGTTTGACCCATACAACTCGCGCGTTTGATATTGCCGCGAGCTCATCGCGCGCGCCAGTCGCTAGCTTGCCCGCTACTTAGACCGCGCGTGCGTTTGGTACGAGAATACTCGCATATTTCCGCGAATATGTTTGATATTTGATAAAGAACACTATTTATCCTTACCATATTAAATAAAAGTAATATTTGTATAATGTATTATAATATAAAGTAAGTATATGTGTATACATATATGTGTGATGTGTGTGTGTGTGTATTTGTATGTATATATATATTGTTTTGTATCTTGTAATATGTATATATTATTATATGTAATGTTTACTGTATGCACTAGGTTTGTGTTCCTAATTATTCTTTCCTTTTGCGGGCCTACTGGAAGAGATTTCAACATGAAATAAGTAGTGCCCTTGTACTCTGTACCCTTATTGTCGTGTTTCTTCTAATAGCTGTGTGTACAAAATATATTAAATAAAAATAAAAATATTTCGTGACCGCACCCGCCACCGCGCCCGCGAGTCAACGTGAACAAGCACTAACCCTTTGCTATTAATCAATGCTTCACGTGGATTTATCAGTCACACGTTCAAATCACGACACACGTCAGGAAGAAAGTTCAATCAATTTCCTTCAGACTCATTCAGCAGTCGCTTCTACGTAATATGAACATTCTTATAGTGACATAGTAACCTATACAAGAAATATATGTACATTCGTAATATTGTATTCCGTATCTGTAGCTTCGCGATATGTGAGTTGTGTGAATTTTGATAGAGTTTTAGGGTTCCTTTTAATATATCTATTTTTGTGAATACTTTTCTACTTTTTTAAAGAACGGTATCTGAAATGTGGGCACGGTCAGGATGGGGACTCTTTTCAAAACTCGTTTTTAGGACATCTCATCAAACATCTTTTTTTTAAGCTTAGATGGGTGGGCGAGCTCACAGCCCACCTGGTGTTAAGTGGCTTTACTGGAGCCCATAGACATCTAGGTACAATGTAAACGCGCCACCCACCTTGAGATATAAGTTCTAAGGTCTCAGTATAGTTACAACGGCTGCCCCACCCTTCAAACCGAAACGCATTACTGCTTCACGGCAGAAATGGGCAGGGTGGTGGTACCTACCCGTGCGGACTCACAAGAGGTCCTACCACCAGCAATTACGCAAATTATAATTTTGCGAGTTTGATTTTTATTACACGATGTTATTCTTTTTGTGTTGATACTTATTTCATTAGAAAAATTGGTACCCGCCTGCGGGATTCGAACACCGGTGTATCGCTAGATATCAATGCACCGGACTTTTTAACTTTTAGGCCACGACGACTGGAAGATGTTCGCTCCAGAGCCTGGTAGTATGTGGCAATAATGGCAAAGCACTGTGCTTATACGCAGTATTTCTGAATAGATTTCCAAAGATGATGATAATTAATTCTACAAAAAAAATTGAACAGAGAGCTAGTATTTATAACAAAGTGCTCGTTAATTAATTCACGATAATGTCCTTTACCATATTTTTTGCCATGCCCAATTTGAATTATTATCCGTAAGATGATTACACGTATCATTAATATTCTATTTATTTAAAAATGAAATTCAAAATTTCGGCGTTAGTTTATCATTTCGTGAACGCTTTTATTTGTTTATTTATTTACTTGCAACATCCGTTTAAATTTTGAGCGTTCAAAATGTCATCTATCGATCTTGAATTTAAAAAAAGTGTTATTGGCACAACTTTTAACAAAAAATAATAATACACAACCTACATATATCTAAACAATGCAGCAACAGACTACAAACAGTCGAACGTTTGGTTTGATTCAACTGAAATACGCGCCATTGTTATTAATGAATGCCAACCGTAAGCAAAGTCAAAAAATTAGTAGTTTTAAATAAATTTTTTATTGCCCTTGTAGGCAGACGACCATACGGCCCACCTGATGGTGAGTGGTTACCGTCGCCCATGGACTTCAGCAATGCCAGGGGCAGAGCCAAGCCGCTCCCTACCGGTAATAGTAGTAATAAGCTACTACGTTTCATGAAAGACGAACAATATATATAGGTATATATTTTTTTCTTACTTGGGTGGCCGAGCTCACAGCCCACCTGGTGTTAAGTGGTTACTGGAGTCCATAGACATCTACAACGTAAATGCACCCCACACCTTGAGATATACGTTCTTTTTTTTTCTTTTTTTTCCTACTTATGCTGATAAACTTAAGAGGCTATTTCAGCTTCACCCTCGCCTTCAGCTCAAGCCGGAAGTGTTGCTAACACTGACCCTTAGCAAGAGCAGTTAATTCGCTAACTTGTCGAGCCCTTCGTCGCAAGCGACGGATTCGACGAGAACAGTGACCGGTGCTTGTGGTACCTAAAAGCACCGTTAACGGATCAGGAGGATCCGTGCTTTGCTTTGGACGTGCTTTGGGCGACGTCGACTATTTATCATTCGGTCTACAGGATCGGGTATGTAATTCCCAGCGGCCACGTCAAGAGGGTTTTCATGTCGTGCCGCCTTCTCCAAGTGGCACAATGATGCCGACTGTAGATACTTACTGACTGTGTCAAGCTCCAGGTCATCATGGAGGTCCAGGTGACTTAGGAACCATGGTGCTCCGACGGCTATCCTGAAAAAGCGGGATTGAATAACTTGAAGGGGTTTCAAGTTGGTGCGGGCCGCGTGAGCGAATACTGCACTTGCATAGGTCATGAATATAAGTTATAAGGTTTCAGTATAGTTACAACGGCTGCACCACCCTTCCAAACGGAACGCATTACTGCTTCAGGACAGAAATAGGCGGGGTGGTGGTTGGTACCTACCCGTGCGGACTCGCAAGAGGTCCTACCAGTAATTTGATAAAATTGCATCGGCCGATAGATTACAATTAAATCAGATTGCTATAATAATATTTACAGTTTACTACACAACAAAGTATATATAAATTAATAGTACGAGTAGAGTACAAATAAAGAAATTAATTGTACAGTTTTGAAATTTTCATTCGATCGGATACATACGGAACCATCGATGCATTTTCCCTTTCCTCTTGCTATCAGTACTATAACTGAATATTTTAGTTACAAAGAAAATTAATTTTCAACTTTCCACAAAACAGAATAAGGTTTACTTTTCGTTTGTTCAAAAGTGGCATAGCGCTATAGTAACTATTTCTTGTATTTTTTTTTATTTTAATTATCATTGAAAGTTTTATAAGAACACCATTATTATATTGGTTTCAGTGGATTGAAAACGGTGTTTAATTACAACGCTGTGTCATTTAAATAGTAAATTTAGAAGTTAACAAGGTTTTATATAAGAATTTCGTGACATATGTTCTTGTGAAACTCCCGCACACTAATGACTTAGTACATAAAAAAATCATTTTTCTAAATGAAAAAGAGCCAATTCCAAAGACAAAGGTGATTAGTATTCAAGTTCAAATGTTTTTGAAGTAAACCAAAAAACTAACCTGTAAATTATGTTTTGTCTTATATTTTAAGCAAAATTACTGCGAAGCAAAGAAGAGCGTTGATTTTATAAGTATTTAATCGTACCGAGAAAATTTAAAATATGGCTTTTACTAAACAAGAAGTTGTAGTTAATAAAAAATGCAGTTATGATACAGCCATGGATCTTACAGGTAAGTGGCGAAATTGTCTATTGTACAATACAGACGATACATTCAATTCGCAACACAAAACATTTCGGAGCTCACAAACCAACCACACTTCAGAATTAATTAATAATCCTATTTTTGCTACCTATGCTGATAGCCTTGAGAGGCTATTTTAGCGTAACCTTAACTAGTACGTGAGCTCACGGGGCTCAAACCTGACGACGTTGCTAACACGAACCTTAGCAAGAGCCGTGCTTCGCAGAATCTACCACAGGATCGGAAACGGGACTCACTGAGAAAATCCGGCGAGAAACTCAGTGGGCTGTGTCTGTGGGTAATAATGCCTACGTCATTCTTCAAACAAGATATTTTCAAACATTCAATTCGATTATAATGCCGATTAATTCCTGCATTTCACACCGAGGAGTGACAGGCTATTTGATTTTATCGATATTTAGCTTTTTACTGGTGGTAGGACCTCTTGTGAGTCCGCGTGGGTAGGTACCACCGCCCTGCCTATTTCAGCCGTGAAGCAGTAATGTGTTCCGGTTTGAAGGGTGGGGCAGACGTTGTAACTATACTGAGACCTTAGAACTCATATCTCAAGGTGGATGGCGGCGTTTACGTCGTAAATGTCTATGGGCTCCGGTAACCACTTAAAATCAGGAGGGCTGTGAGCTCGTCCGCCCACCAATGCAATAAAAAAAAATATATATATACGTGACATTTAGGTACGTTTTATTTGGTATTAGCAACAACAGTTGGATGTTCTTAATTGAATTCCAATTAAGTTTATTCAAATACCATTCAAATAGGTTTTTTATTTGGTTGGACGAGCTCACAGCCCACCTGGTGAAGAAGTTTTTTTTTGTTATGATATTCTTTTCAAATTTTAAACTTTAATTGGCTCCCGTGTAAAGTTGCAAAAATGTCGCTTAAACCAAATAAATAGCCTTTGAACCCTCGATATGCACTTAAACATTTTTTTTACTCTTCAACATATTTACGGCTCAGTTCGTGCTAAGTGGTTCTCATAGAAATGACCTCAAAACCGCCACCCACCTTAAGAAATGAAGTCAACCTAAAGTATACATCGGTTCGCCCAACTATGTATTCTAAGCCCATTAATGCTTTGCCGCAAAAATAGGGAGGTGGTAGTTCCTATCCGTAGGGATCCACACGACTTCTTACTACTAGTGATTGCGTAAATTGTACCGAATTTTTGCAGATTTCATTGTTATTACAAGATGCTACTTCGCATTTGCGATCGTGTGTTAAGTACGCACTTTATTAAAAATGGTATCAATATACGCGATTCGGACACCGGCATTGTTCGCATACCAATACATTTGGTGTCTGGTTTGCTAGTAAGCATTGACAAACACATACAACAAACTGATGGTAGGCCGTCTTGTGACCTCGTACATTAGGTACTACCTGGCCTTGCCTATTTTTGCCGAAGCGTGATACCTTCCGGCTTCAAGAATGGAACAGTCGTTACAATATGAGACTTTAGACCTCATGTCATGTAAACGCCTTCAGCTCTAACACTTGGAGCAGGCTTGGCGACCCCGGTAAGCGTAATCGTCGATCTCGATAAAGAATTAGACGTGCAACCTAACCTAAGCATCAGCCCGCTGAGTTTCTCGCCGGATCTTCTCTGCGGGTCGCGAATCAGATCCGGTAGTAAATTCATTCGCGAAGCAGCTGCTCTTGAGTTGTTAGGTCTCCTTCAGGTAGTTGTTAGCAAATCCCACCCCTCCTGGCTGATCCTTTGCTCGTCCAACTTTCCTGGTGTAACTGAAAAGGCCTCCGGGCCACCAGTAATCCCGCATTCCTAAAATAAAAGATTTTTTGCCCTTCTGTATTGCACCTGTGACTATTACCAGAAATGGGAAGATTTACCTAGGGAAGCCTTTAAGCCTCAAAGGCCTATCTTAAGGGAAGATTTACCTAGAAAAACAAAAGGAAGTTTTTATTATTTATCGCTTAGATGGGTAGACGAACTCACAGCCCACCTGGTGTAAAGTAGTTACTGTAGCCCATAGACTTCTACAACGTAAATCCGCAACGACCTTGAGATATAAATTCTTAGGTCTCAGTATAGTTACAACGGCTACCCCACCCTTCAAACCGAAACGCATTACTGCTTCACGGCAGAAATAGGCGGGGTGGTAGTACCTACCCGTGCGGACTCACAAGAGGTCCTGCCACCAGTAAAACCACCACCAGTACTATAAATGATTGAGTAATAGTAGTCGTTCGAGTAGGACGAGTCATGTCAATATTTCCTAATAATCTTCATGATACCTGCAGGCTTCGGAATATATAACATTATAATGCTGACGTCATGCTGTCTCATAATACTGGCAATGTACATGGACATATTCGGTTTCTCCGTGGTGATGCCGGCCGTTGCCTGTGATATGGACCTTACGACCGCAGAACAAGGTCTACTCTCTGCTATACCGTTGATTGGTAAGTTTAACTGACTACTGTTTACTGTGTGCTTAGTGCGAGTTTTTTAACGTTCTCGATAGCGTAAAAGTTAACTCAAATTTATATGCAGTTGGAACAGCGCCCCTAGCGGCAAATGTAGGCTAACGTCCAACTCTATACAAATTTGAGTTCACTTTTGATTGATTGACGATTGATTGAGGATTTATTATAGTAACCATTACTAAAGCGACAAGTATTCACGTTAACTTTGGTAACGTATACTGTTAACGATAGGGTTGTAGTTTATTATCATTTTGGCTTTGAGAACGATCAGAGGCCTTTGTACTCGGTAAACAATAATCTAAGCGATATTCAGTGAAAGTCAAAACGTACTTGTTTACCTCAAGTTACATTGTTTAATCATTTTGTCTAGCCACTGTATATTTAAAAGACATGCCATATTTATTTTGTCTGGAAAGACAAAGGAGCTAACGTTTATAATTGATTTTCAATGTAAACATAGAGACAATAAAATGCCAGTTTATGTAGGTTTAAATGTTTATAAACAGTTGCTTATTTGATTAGATATGGTTAATTGATGTGCTATTTATAAAATAAGCTTGAAGTACATAAATCAAGTTATGAATTTGTGAAGCCCCACGAAGGCCTCGTACTGTATACTTAGTAGGCAGCGTGTTGGCTCTGCTCCCGGCATTGCTGAAGTCCATGGGCGACAGTAACCACTTACCATCAGGTGGGCCGTACGCTCGTCCACCTACAAAGGCAACAAAAAAAATTACTAATACCGCAATTTAGAGCAATCGTTATTTCAAAGCAATGGAATTTAAACTTTGCTGAACCGACAAAGGTGTCCTATTGGATCTTATCATCAACTAATTAAGTTGAAAGTACAACTGCCTTTTTTCCCTACCTATTCGCTAGTTGTCTAAGTAGCTATTCCAGCTATAGAGTAAGATCCCAGGGCCCCCAGACGTCACGTATTTTCTGACGAACGAAATGTGGTCGATTGCGTAGTGTTAGTGTGTACTAAGAACGCATGCCTACCTGCTACCTTGTTTAGACGGCCAATTTTCAGGTATCAGGTACTCAAGGTACATAAAATTATGACCTACTTCACGTATTTTCTGAAAGCAAAGAGGTATGCGAGGCTCAACGATCTGCAGGCGTTGAGAGCAGATCGCGGGCCCAAGGATTTTAGGGCCCACCCACTAAACGACTCCCCTGCACTCTTACACCCGACGTCCGATCCCCTCCGAGGTCAGAACCCGGATGAGGTAGGGGGGTTACCGCGGTCAACACTACAACCAGACAGCGCGGCTCACCCCAAGGACGCCCAGCCGACGGAGCCTTCGAGGCGAATCGAAGGCTCTGAAACGTCGGCCGTCTCGGTACGGCAGCCCGTCAGGCCGCCCAGACGGTGCCGCTGGTGTCCCGGAATACCCCGCTGGACCAGAACCAGCCTGCCGGGTCGGGACGCGATACACCGCCAACCGGTCGCTCTTTCGTAACTCCTTGGCAGCGCGCTAGAGTGCTGGTAGCGCGCCGAGCGGCCTCTACCCTTTCAGGTCGCCCCTTGACCTTCGCCGGGGGGAAGCCGCCATCTACAGGGGCCGGAGTCGGGCAAAAGCCCTTCTCCGGCCCCCGGCTCAGTGGCGACGGATAGGTTCGGAGAGGGATGAGCTCTCCCTCTCTCGTTCCGCTGCCTCCTTCTGCGAGATGGTGTACTCGCAGAAGTCGAGCATCGCCTTCCAGGACTCATCGCTGCCGAGCATCATGGCCACGACAGTCGGCAGCGACAAGTCCGGTCCTATTTGCGAGACAAGGACACGGCGTTGCTCCAGCCATGCGGGGCAATGTGCTAGCGTATGCTCGACCGTGTCCTCGTCGCAGTCACAGTGGTGACACTCCATCGTCGGTTCCCTCCGGGCGATGCGATGCAGGTACCGGCCAAAACACCCATGGCCGGTAAACATCTGGACGTCTGGGGACCCTGGGATCTTGGACTACAACGCACGGACGGGTAGGTGCGCTTACGGGCTCAACCTAAGGGAATTTACTAAAACTGGCCCTAGCAAGAGTAGTGCTTCGCAGAATCCACCACCGGATCGGAATCGCGACCCACTGAGACAACTACTATTAGTTCTTTTTTTTTGTTATTGCTTTTATGGGTGGACGAGCTCACAGCCCACCTGGTGTTAAGTGGTTACTGGAGCCCATAGACATCTACGACGTAAATGCGCCACCCATCTTGAGATATAAGTTCTAAGGTCTCAAGTATAGTTACAAAGGCTGCCCCACCCTTCAAACCGAAAGGCATTACTGCTTCACGGCAGAAATAGGTAGATCAGGCAAAGTGTTTACAAGGTACAATACTTAGCGCACGACTACTTATTAATAACACGAAGTAGTGCCGGCTTAAAGCGGTTTTTAAGCCGTAAATTTTATTATTTAATGAAAGATGAACCCTTTATCCAGGTGTTATGTTCTCGTCTTATGTGTGGGGTTTCTGCGCTGATACAAGGGGTCGTCGAACCACTCTTCTATTCGCGATGCCAGTAGGATCTATCTTCGGCTTCGCAGCCAGCATGGCGCCTTCCTATATCTCGCTAGCTATATTGAAATTTTTGTCAGCCAGTTTGTGAGTATGTTTTATCTATATATTAATACGTGAAGCAAAAACTTTGTATCCCTTTTTACGAAAATTGCGCGGACGAAGGAGTATGAAACTTTCCACACTTATAGAGAATATAGAGAAGAAGTGCACAATGCTAATATTTTTTTAAATAATGCATAAAAGATACATTAAATCAATAAAGAAAACATTACACACGCTACATACCATGTATTTGACGCACACACGCATGCATATTATTTATTGTCAAACTTTTGTCGTCTGTTGTCAAATTGAGATTAAATATTGTTTGTCTTTATTAATATTTTTGATAGTGTAGTCTTGGCGAAATTTGTGATTATAGAAGTATAAAATACAATCATAATAGTGTACAAACTTACAATTCCAATTAATTATAGTCGAATTTCGATTACTGCGGGACCTCTAGTTTTAATAACAGCTTATTATTGTCATGAATGACTTCCTTAGTGATAGATAGTAGATAATTAAAAAAACAACATTATTAAAAGCCAAAAAACAAGTATAAATTATAATTAATTCCAGTACATCATCGGCTAATGCAGCAGCTTTTGTACTAGTGGGGGAAAGCGCCCCAAAGAGGCATAGAAGCAGATTCATGTTTCTCCTGGCCAGTGCCACAATGTGCGTCCAGTTTATAATTTGCTGTGAGTATCTTTGTTTTAGTGTCATTGAGCTTTCGACCTTTCAGGATAAAATCTATTCAACATCAATGTTCACTTTCCTTTCCACCAGTATCACTACTATCACACACAAACAGCTCTGCTTGTGTCTTATTCACTCTCATTTGACATTTGATTTGGATAACATATCATACCATTGTCACAATGAGCAAGATTGGTCCATAGAGTGTTTCGGGAGATAGACCTTCCTAAAACCTTTAATGGAAACCTACCCTTTAATCGCGAATCTATCTGTAAATTTCAGCCTTCGCTCTACCGGTTTTCAAACATTCGTTCTACATCGAAATATCGTGGTTGCACATGGAATACCGCCCGTGGCGGATGCTGATGCAGATCATCAGTATACCAGGAGTTCTAGGAACTATCGCTATGGCCTTCCTCAACGAGAGCCCAAAGTTTCTGCTCAGCAGAGACCAGACTGTAAAAGCATTGGATACTCTTAAATCCATTTATAGATGGAATACTGGCAGAAAACCATATACTTATCCAGTAAGTAATTTTAATCACTCTGTACCTACTTCTGTTTAAACTTTGACGTCAAAAATTGAATACAAATTTATTTAGGAATTCCTATGACATTGTTAGTTCAAATTATGTAATGCTATATGCTATGTAAAATACAGTAAGTTCTTTTTGTGTATCAAGTAACGTTAATTTTACTATTAAAAACAATTTTACTTCGTTTTCCCTTCCTAACCGTTAGCAGCTTAGGGGGCTATTCTAACTACTCACGGATCGGAACTTTTATTACTAAAAACAACTTTTTCTACAAACTGCCTCCGCAAAAACTTTCCATCATATATTCTCCTTTATAATTTCACAGGTCAGCAGTGTTTATCTGGACGAAGAGCCAGTTCTAGTGGAAAACTCTTCGTTCTTCCGGAAGATGTGGGATCAAACAGCGCCCCTCTTTAAGCCTCCACTGCTGAAAAATTCCTTGATGCTCTACTACATTCTAATGTGCGCTTACATGACGTAAGTAATGTGATAATAGTCTTAAAATATGCTTTGGACTCTTTACGAAACTGCTTTTTAGCACTTCCTCATGATCTACCCTTATCTTATCGTGAACGCTAGATGGTGTACTTAGTAAATTAGGTAGGATGCGTTCGGAAATATTATTAATTAGTACAGTAGGAATAGGCGCAGTCATCGATATAATGGCGTAGCATATATTTTATGCCTTGTAAATACATTACCTTCCTACCTAAATACCTTCTGATAAGATTACTGATTTGTGAAAAAAGTGTAATGTGCCCGACAAAAATGTTTTGAGAATAAATGTGTAAGAGAAATTGTCGGTCCTTCGGGGCCCCCTGAGAATGGGGGCCCTGGGCACGGGCCCCTTGTGCCCTTATGGTAAAGACGGTATTGTCTACAGTAATACTAACGCTGTTGTTTCATTGCGTGGTTAATGTACGGGGGTAAGACCTAGTGTTAAGTGCTTACAGAAGCCTATAGATATCATAATATGATTGTCGCCACCAGCTCTGAGACACGAGGATGATATCTGAGCTGTAGCGTAGAACGTCTGTCCCCATACGCCGAAAAGTATGACTGGTTCGCAGAAAACCTGCTGTACCTGCTCCTGCGGGCTGATGCCTTATGATTAGTAAAACCATCGCTGTTAACACCAATCTCATTTCTGCGGTGTGTTTCTGGTTTGAACATCAACCTCTATATTGGAACTTGTTTTCTGAGACCACAAAAACTGTATTCAAAGGGTCGGAAATAAAATGAAGACTGTAAAAAAAATACGAGATTAAACCATAAAAGTAGCTTAGATTATGTCTGCAACTCACGAAAACCAATGCGACCACTATAATAAAAATTTTCCCTCCTGACCTAAGCCTTTGCACGCCCACTTGTACTGATGAAACTGGAAAGGCCATGGGGCCACCATTAATCTTTCCTTCTTAAAAAAACAATTGCATACTGGTGGTAGGACCTCTTGTGAGTCCGCACGGGTAGGTACCAGCGCCCCGACTATTTCTGCCGTGAAGCAATAATGCATTTCGGTTTGAAGGGTGGGGCAGCCGTTGTAACTATACTGAGATCTTAGAACTTATATCTCAAGGTGTGTGGCGCATTTACGCTGTGGATGTCTATGGGCTCCAGTAGCCACTTGGCACCAGGTGGGCTGTGGGCTCGTCCACATATCTAAGCAATAAAAAAATAAAAAAAAGCATAATGTGAACACTAGGAACAAACATAGGCTTGCGTTGCCGGCGGCTCGAATTAAGAAAATAAGCAACTCTTTCAGGCGGCTGGGTGTACAACTTTTCAACAAGATCCCACAAAACGTTCAATTACTACCTGTTCATAGATTTAAGAAAAGTGAGAAAATATAAAAAAAAAGCCCGCTGAGTTTGTTTCGCCGGTTCTTCTCAGGACTGTGGCTTTGTTTGGAACCGGTGGTCGAGTTAACATTGTTATTTATATTTTGGCATTCAACAAGTGTATTAAATTGACATCTAAGTTGAAATAAATGATTTTAAATTTTTAACGAAGTGCTTCTGCGTATGAAATCGTCAAAAGACTTCATTCACCCGATCAATTTTAATTCCAGATCAACCGGTTACACTATGTGGGTGCCCACAATGACGAACGCATATTTCAGCGGTGGCGACAAGAACGGACTGACATTCTGCGAAGTGGCAAGTAACGCCGCCTCTGCAACGAACTCTGTAAGATATAACTCACTACTGCTACACAATTAAATTGACATGTCAGGAAAAATCTGATTGGTTAAATTTCCCATATCCTAATAAGCTTAGTGCTTAGATGTAATTGTCGCAAAAATTTACGTAATTTATCATAGTGTTGTGACTTGGCAGTTTACAATTGACCCTTAAACCTCACATTTGAAATCAGATAGTGGCCTTTTAATTGTATTTTTAAGTCTGTTAACTAGTTCACGGTCCACATGGTGCTAAGTGAATACCGAAGTCCATAGACGTGAACAAAGTAGATTTGTACTTTGAGACATGAGTTCTAAGTCTCAGTTATATAGTAAGTACAACGACTGCCCTGCTCTTCAAAGCGAAACGTTGTTTGACGCAGAAATAAGCAGTACCTGCCCGTGCGGACTTACAGGACGCCAGTACTGGACGAGTTCCCGGTCCGCCTGGTGTAAATAGGTTACCGGGCCCATTTATATTACATTGTGAATGCTGTCATCTACTTTGGAGCGCGTGGTAGTATCAATTGTATTGAGCAACAACCGTTAAACTGCTTCTCTTTAGAAAGAGGTAGGATGGTGGTAGCTATGCAGTCTTACAATAGACACTATTGCCAATAAATTCCGGTTGGTGATAGCAGTACGCTGCTTTAATAGAGAAAGCTGCTGCCCGTACTCCAGTGAATCCCTTAATCGCCTGTCATAACACCCACAAGAAGAAACGAAGTTATACCGACACCGGCCAGTTTTCTATCGTCCCATGTACTGTTCATAGTCGCCGATAATACCATCAGATTGGCCATCAGATCCTTGGTCTATCTACACTTACAATGGTAAAAGAATACATTTCTAAAACCTACCAACCATTCTTTTGTTTTTATTACAGACGTTAAAAGACTGCGATAACATTATCCAACCAATGACGCTATACGCAGTCATGTGCTACTCAGGAGTGTCGACCGTATCCTCAGTTCTCCTGTCCTTCGCCGTAGGACCTTTAGGGAAAAAGTTGACCACGCTCCTAGTGTTTGCCGTAGCGGCATTCTGCGGGGTTCTACTCCTCTTCGTCAGGGTACCAATGCTCAGTATAGCACTGTTCTTCTTATTTCTATACGTGGCGCTAATATTGGGAAATGTGAACAGCTATTTAGTGGAATGGAACCCTACACATTTAAGGTAGCGTTTTTATAATTTATTAAAAGGTTCGATTTCTTGATATGAAGTATCTTAAAATATTGTAATAGCATTATTATTCTCTGTCTTTAACGTTCAATGACATTACAACAGTGAATTGTATTTGGTGCACACTATTGACTTAGAATCGTCGTGGCCTAAAGGATAAGGCGTCCGGTGCGTTCATGTTGAGCGACGCACCGGTGTTCGAATCCCAGGTGGGTACCAATTTTTCTAATGAAATACGTACTCAACAAATGTTCACGATTAACTTCCACGGTGAAGGAATAACATCGTGTAATAAAAATGAAACCCGCGAAAAAAAATTATTTGCGTAATTATTGGTGGTAGAACCTCTTGTGAGTCCGCACGGGTAGGTACCACCACACTGCCTATTTATACCGTGAAGCAATAATGCGTTTCGGTTTGAAGGGTGGGGCAGCCGTTGTAACTATACTTGAGACCTTAGAACTTATATCTCAAGGTGGGTGGGCGCATTTAAGTTATATATGTCTATGGGCTCCACTAACCACTTAACACCAGGTGGGCTGGGAGCTCGTCCACCCATCTAAGCAATAACAAAAAAATAAAAAAAGAGTCAGGATTAAACCAGTAATAAATTCTTGTATTTCAGAGGAATGGCAACATGCCTATCCGTTGTTGTCGCTCGAGGATTCGGCTTTATCAGCGTGCAACTAATAGCCAGTTTACTGACTGACTACTGCACGCCGATGATCAGTGGATATGTACTACTAGTTATTTGTAAGTTGATAAAGGCAGAGCGGCATCACAGGGGCTGTGTTTTTGTAATTTGTTGAATTTTTCCAACAGCTTTGTGAGGACTGAGGGTAAATTGATTTACAGCAGGTCATATGGTTAGTTGGGTAGCAAGTGATGTTAAAAAGCAGACAGTCCCGAGTTCGAATTTAACTGTGGACTTTTCTTTCGTTAAATCATTTCACTTCTCCTAATATCTACTAACATAACATTACTTATAACCAGTGTGCTTATTACGAGTTTTTTAACGTTCTCGATAGGTAACGGAAAACTGAACTCAAATTTGTATGCAGTTGGAACAGCGCCCTTAGCGGCAAACGTAGGCAAACACTGGAAATCGCCAAAACTGTTAAACATTTTATTTTCTGATCCTCTAGGGATTTTGTTACTATTTTACATAATCTCATTTGAGACTGAAGATTTTTTCGTTTTCAGCTGGATTCGTAGTTTCGATATTCTTGCCGCCTGAAAGAAAACCTGTATCACAATCAGACGAAGAAAAACCAATTGATCAGTAATTTTAAGCATTAAGTCGATCCAATGAAAAAACTCTTGTATAATAGGAATATTAAGTTTAATATCTATATTAATTGATATAAACAGATAACCGTTATTTAATTCTTTGTTTTTTTTCTTTAAAATCTACTTCTACGTGAAAGATCAAGAGTAAAGTGCCAATATAAGCGGTAGGCAGCGGCTTGGCTCTGCCCCTGGCATTGCTGAAGTCCATGGGTGACGGTAACCACCCACCATCAGGTGGGCCGTATGCCCGTCTGCCTACAAAGGCAATAAAATATATATATATAAAATATATAAAATAAAAACCACAAAATGTTTGTATTATTTTTACCATTAGCTTCTTGCACATAATAATTTAACTCTCCAATTTAAAAAAAGTCTATTGAAGCCTTTGTCCATCCACCATCACCACCAGCACCATCAAAGTAAGGTTCATCGTTATTGTTTGTATCTGCTACATTCGTTGATAGCGCGATTTTAGCTACCATATTTATCATGTATTATTTTGCTCTGGAACCAACATCCTGCGGTGCTCCCCAAGCGCTAAAACATTGCCCGTTGACTGGTATATCTATCACAGCCATAGCATTTTTAATTATATCTTATAATTCAATAGCCTGACATAATTTGGCTTTAGTTCATAGTGGAATATTTTTCAATAAGAAACCAGTAGAATTTATATAAAATCTACACCACTGATAGATAAATACGAAAGAACACTATCATGCGTTGTTAAGCTACCATCTTTTAATTTTAATTAGAACTTGCAACATTGAAAAAGTTTACCGTCGTGTGTACCGACGAAGAAGACCGTCTTTAATCATCTTCATTCCATTTCATTTCCTTTCACTTCAAATTACCATTTTTCATAAAAATAAGAATATAAATTAAAATAAGACACGTCTTAAAGGTCTCAGTTACCACGTCATAAAATTCCTTAAAAAAAATTATCGGCCGTCACGTCTAATGTCAAAGTCGTAAACTTTAACTGTCATTCGTTTTTCTTGAAACGGGCGAAATGTCTGATACAACCGGTGATAATTCAAAACCACGAGTTTTAATACTAGGAGGTAATTTAATAACAATATTATAAGTAGTTCGTGCAGTTCCATAAGTCTTTTAAAGCGTATTATGCCCAAGAAGTATTCAAATCGTGTAGTTTTTTTTTTGTCGCAACGGTCGTTGATCTTAGTCATCGTGTTACAAAATTAAACCGTTTTTTGCATGGTGATGTGCAGGATGCGGCTTCATCGGGCGGAACTTGGTAGATTACTTGATAAGGAACGATCTGGTTAGCGGGCTTCGTGTTGTGGACAAGACCCCGCCTCAACTGGCTTTCCTGAACCCTACACATTCTAAAACATTTGAGGACCCCCGCGTTGAATACAAAAGCGCAAATTTAATTAATCAGAGTGAGTAATAAATTATTTAAAAAAAATGATACATTATTAATAAATACAAAATGTCCCAGTATTCTATTTCTAGAACAATCACACACAACATCTTTAATAATTTACCTGCATATTATTGTTTATAGATGCGGTATCAAAATTTACTTTCTCAAAAATTGAACTAATACATAAAAATCAAAATAAAATTTAAAAAATATACTCAAGAACATGTATAAAGTTAATATAACTAAACACTTTCAATATTTTATCATTAAATTGTTTTAAATATTAAAATACAAGAACAACAGACTAGTGAGTGCTCGTCAATTAAGATAAAAAGTATTATCACTGAAAATGAATCATTTCCCTATTATGTCATATGTTAATATATGTTACATACACAATGTACATATAATGAACCATAGAATATTATGATAAGGGTGAAATTTGTTGAAGTTTGAGAAGTTGAACAAGGTTGTGCTTTGAGACCTGTACTAAATAGTATTTAACACTCAATTTTGACCTTTTATCTACAGTTAATAAATTTGCATCCAACTATTTTAAGTAAAAACTTTCATTTTAACTTTAACTTTCATTTTACTTTCATTTCACATTTTTGCATTCAAATGCGGCTTTTCATGCCTTTTTACTGTAATGAAATTTGTAACATTGGAAAGTATTATTTAAAAATACAAATGAATAAAGACAAAACCTACAAGATGATCATCCACGTTAGTGTGTAAATTTTACAGAGCGTGATTCTATTACGTGAGCGTAATTCACTTTCACTGTACTGAATAGTGGTGGTTTAGATAAAGAGAGTGTGTGTTTGTAACAAATAGCGTTCTAAATGTATATAGCATAAGCAGACCTAATGTAATTGTACCAGTTGATAATATGGTATCTTTTATTTCCTAGTAGCCTAATATTCAAAAGTATAATTCTTCATTCTTCATTTAAAATTTAACTAAAGCTCAAACAATTCAGGCTGGTAAATATACCTTAAACATATTTTTTTTTTTATAAAAAGTACCTTATACTTCATGTTAATGCTACTACACTAACAAATTATCTGTAAACTTTCTTTTTTTACACTGTAAGCCATGAAACAAAATCTAGTCTAAAAATTTTACTCTGACGATGCATTAATATTGCTGAGTTGAGTTCTTTATGCTCTTCTATTTATATATATATATTAATGATGTGACAGTTATCTTTATAATTAAAGGTCTGTTTTATTTGGGATTAGTATTAACAATTCCATGTTTTTAATTGAACTTCAATTAAGTTTACCCCGTTCAAATGGATGAAAAAATTTTTTTTTTATGATATTTTTTTCTAAATTTTAAACTTTAAAGGACTCTCCTGTAAATTTGCAAAAGTCTCTTAAACCAAATAGCCTTTCACCTCTCGATATATATTATACTCTTGGCCTATCTGTTTGTAAGCAACATCACAAACTATTGCAACTACTTATCTGTGACATGATATCAAAGTCTCTTAATATATTGTTTAGTAACAATACACAGGATCTTGATACCAACCCATGCCATAAACATCTACGATTATACATCACAACTGCTTCATAAATATACACAATGCTAATGCATATATTTATGACATGTTGAATTATAATAGCAAATTCAGTTTGCTAAAACACTGTCTCATTGTTTTAGCTACACGTGAATGTCATATTAATATTGTTAATAAACAATTCTTGTATTTTCCTCAATGTACAAAATATGTTGTCACATATTCAACAACTATTATGAGGCAGTAAAATATTTATTAAAGCAGGAGATAAATTAAGAGGAAAATATAATATATTAATATTATAAAGCTGAAGAGTTTATTTGTTTGAACGTGCTAATCTCAGGAACTACTGGTCCGATTTGAAACATTATTTCAGTGTCAGATACCTCATTTATTGAGGAAGGCTATAGGCTATATAAAATCACGCTAAGACCAATAGGACCTAGTAGAGCAACAATAAAGAATGTTACAAAATCGGGGTATTTTTCTCTTTTGAGAGCTTAAGCTATATTATGTAGATATACGCCAAAGTAACTATTCCACGCAGACGAAGTCGCGGGCAAAAACTATATTAATATATAATTTTTTACAAATTATATAACAATCATAATCCTTATTCTTATCATATGCACTGTCAGTTTGTAAAATACAATTGCTATGTAGAACATATGTACATGCCAAGTTTAGACATTATTTAATATCGCATACAGACATAGAGTACACATTACATAAATAATGGAGTAATCGGTAACCTACTTTAAGTGAGCCTGCGTCTACGGCATTTGAGGAGAGCTCGCTGCAGTGTATAGCGACTTGACTATGTTCCTGGCGTTGCCGTCGTCCGTGAATGACGAGAACCACTTACCATGAAATGGGATGCTCGTCTGCCTAAGACGGCGATAAAAAATACGGCATACTAAGGAAGGCTTACCTGAAATTTAATGTCCGTTTGTCACAAAGCCATACAGCTTCTCGTAAAGCCTCATTCGCACGGGAGTTTTTTTAGCGCGCGTTAAAAAAGCGTTCAAATAGAACAGATTCATTTCCTAGTATATGTTCATACGTCAGCGCTTTTAAAACGCGACGTATTTTTGCATGTTGAGCGCTAAGCGTTGGGCGTTACAGATTACGGCACATTGAGAACGTTATAAAAGCGCCAACGCCGAGTTTTAACGCAACGTTTTTAAAACGCCCGTGCGAATGAGGGCTAAAACTCGTGAAATCAATCTGCAAGTTGAATAAATATTGCGCTGACGTCAACCTACGAGATAACAGCAAGAAATAAGCGTGAATTGTTGTTAAACATATCAACAATGGCTAGGACAAAAACAAAGCTCCTATTTACATAAGGGATTCAATGCGAATCGCTGTAACTATACTGAGCCGTTGTAACTATACTGAGACCTTAGAACTTATATCTCAAGGTGGGTGGCGCATTTACGTTGTAGATGTCTATGGGCTCCAGTAACCACTTAACCCCAGGTGGGCTGTGAGCTCGTCCACCCATCAAAGCAATAAAAAATAAATATAGTTCCACCGAACGGTAATCACAATTCGATTGTGTCCGCGACCTCTATAAGCGCAATTTTTTTCATTTGAAACACAAATGACAATGCACTCGTAAATATTACATTTGTTTCGACGCAGCGATTTTCATTTCAAGGCTTTATTTAGTTACATTCAAAGATATATCGACATTAGAACCAAAATGCAGAATGTATGATTTTGACAGAATGTTTTCTAACTTTTCGTACGTTGGTACTAATATAATAATAATAATAAATATAATAAATATTTACTAACAATCACGCCACGTTAACTGGTCCCGTGCTAAGTTCGTAAATAACTTGTGTTAGACGTACCAGATAACGAAAATAAATGTAAGATTTTTATTATACACATACATACATTTAATATAACATACATTCCATAACCCTGGAAAAAACATTTTATATTTATCATACAAATATCTTCCCTTGGCGGGATTCGACCCCCGCGACCCCCTTTGCGTAGTGACCGTGTCACTTACCACTACACCAGACGGCCGTTATACAATGTTGAATACAATTTTATCTGGCCATAATCTATATATTAATACGTGAAGGAAAAACTTTGTATCCCTTTTTACGAAAATTGCGCGGACGGAGGAGTATGAAATTTCTCACACTTATAGAGAATACAGAGAAGGAGTGCAGAATGTTAATATTTTTTAAAATTATGCCTTAAAATACATTAAATCAATAAAAAAAACATTACACACACTACCATGTATTTGACGCACACACGCATGCGTATTATTTATTTATTGTCAAACTTTTGATTTTGACGTCTGTTGTGGTCAAATTGAGAATAGATTATACATATATTGTTTGTCTTTATTAATGTTTTTCTATAGTGTCTTTTGGCGAAATTTGTGATTATAAAAGTATAATAGTCTTTGAAAATAGAATCATAATAGTGTACAAACTTACAATGTCAATATATTATAGTCGAATTTGGACTATTTCCACCACCACTAGTAAAAGAAAATTCACTTACTCGTGTCGTTATAAGTTTGGTCATGGTTTCCTCTTCAGCTTCTTGCGCATCAGCGTTAGATCCAGGAGACGACGCGCCATGGGGGCTGGTAGTGAATTGTGCGAGCGAAACTCGCGGAGGTCAGACCGAGGCGGTTTATGCGGAAGGAATCGTCACCCTAAGCCTGAACGTGGCCAAGCACTGCGCCAGGATGAAGGTACCAAGGCTGGTTGAGATCTCAAGTGGACAGATGTGCAGCAGTGATAAGGTAATTTATTTTAAATAAGAACTTAAAAAAAATTATGAAAATAAAATAAAATAGGGGTGTCTATTCATTACGTGAGGTGTTCTAGGGGGGGAGGAGATCAAACTAAATCTTTCCAAGTCTCACTTAGGGGGGAGAGGGGGTCTTGGCAAATATCACGTAATTATATTTCTCGCAGAAAACGATTTAAAACGGTGTGTTGAAAAACACCTAGATATATTACTGGTTCCAGTACTCACTCTTGAGGCCGCGCACGAGTCTCCATGGACTGAATTAGAATAAATCTTTCCTTAATTTTTGTTTGATATTCATTATTTAATTTTATGATTGTGATTTTAAATTACGGTAATATTCACAAATACTAGTCTTTGCTAGTCTTCAATAAAAGTAATAGAGCAAGTTTCTTTTTCTCAATAATCCAACACGTTTACCGTCCAAATAGAAGTTTTGAAGAATCTCGCGTGGGATTAGAGGAGGGGGGGAGGGAGTTGAGAAAAATCTTACGATATCTCACCAAGGCGGGAGAGGGAGTCAAAAAATTCTCAAAAACGCCTCACGCAATGAATGGACGCCTCCTAACTATTTCACTGCAATATCGTAAGCCAACTTCAAGGCGTGACGTCATCAACGTGGAGGTAAAAGTCAGTACCAAAAGCTTAACAACAACATATTGCATTCGAAGGCAATAGCCCAAGAGGAACTTTCTTTTGAAGAAGGACTTGTAAAACTACTGATAGATACCGATCACAAAATTCAACCTAGATCCTAATTTAATGTGACAAATCCGTTATCAAATCAAACTCCATATTACAGCCCCAAAAGGAAGATTGCTCAATCGACCCTTGGACGATCGAAGGTCGGATGAAGAGCAAAGTGGAACAAGAACTGAAAAACATGGAGGACCTGAACTACACCATCATAAGGCCCGCTATTGTGTACGGAATCGGAGACAGAAGAAGTTTGAGTGAGCATAATAGGACTATTTAGATTAACACTGTAATATTAATTCTGCCCAAAATTGACTTGGCTCAAATATCAAATTGCTTTCTTTGTTTTAAATTTCTGCCAATGAAGCTTATAGCTAAACTATAGTAAGAGAACATGGGCTTCATAACTTGAGTGCAGTCACGCTCCTGATAACCTGAAGTCAAAATTGTGACGACTTCTTGACAGAGACTTCTTTTTACTGGTGGTAGGACCTCTTGTGAATCCGCGCGGGTAGGTACCACCACCCTGCCTATTTCTGCCGTGAAGCAGTAATGTGTTTCGGTTTGGAGGGTGGGGCAGCCGTTGTAACTATACTTGAGACCTTAGAACTTATATCTCAAGGTGGGTGGCGCATTTACGCTATGCATGTCTATAGGCTCCAGTAACCACTTAACACCAGGTGGGCTCGTCCACCCATCTAAGCAATAAAAAAATAATAAAAAATAGGTAGGAGGACGAAAACTCTCCATGTGAGTCTACATTACCATATTTAAATACCAGCTGGTGACTAAAACATGCTGGTATGATATTCAGAGAACCCTTCTGTGGCAGTCAACGACACACAGATAATTTTGATATCGTTTTCACCAACCGGAGTTAGCTGTAATCTTAAACATCCGTTATTTTTGTCATAAATAACCAAATAGATATTGGCTGCTCGTGGGAAAATATATAAATAATGTCATTCTAAAGTATCTATTGTTGATTGTGGGAACGTTTGTTTGAATAAAGGCTATCTACCTTTATTCTGAATAAAAGTTTTTAGTGTGATTATAAAAATAGTCTTTACTAGCCACAATACATGTGCAGTGGAGATATTTGCCCACCTGTCATCAGGTTTGAGCCCCGTGAGCTCACCTACAAACGTTAGGGTTACGCTGAAATAGCCTCTCAAGGCTCTCAGCTTAGGTAGGGAGAAAAAAAAAAAAAGCCCACCATGTAACTTGTATGGCCAACTTAATGTTGAATGACATCAACATTGCCAACAGACATTAGCAAATAAACCGAGACCGCTAAGTCGGTACTTGCTTCATTAGATATTGGCGGTACTATGCCACTACTAACGAGTAACTACCAATAAAGTAAATTATTAGATTTTTATTTTTTAATGCTTAGATAAGTGGACGAGCTCACAGCCCATCTGGTGTTAAGTGGTTACTGGAGCCCATAGACATCTATGACGTAAATGCGCCACCCACCTTGAGATATAAGTTCTAAGGTCTCAAGTATAGTTACAGCGGCTGCCCCACCCTTCAAACCGAAACGCATTACTGCTTCACGGCAGAAATTGGTGCGGTGGTGGTACCTACCCGCGCGGACTCACAAGAGGTCCTACCACCAGTAAAAATATTCCGAAAGTATTATATAACCTGTGTCACTCCCACGAATGATATAAATATAATGACACTTCAGAAAGACAATATAATAATATCTGTTAATTCAATCAGAATAATTCCCAACAGCACCCCGTCTCCTCTACGGTGGAATTTACAAGCATTTAGGCGAAACAATGAAACTCCTTTGGACTGGCGATCTGAAAATGAACACGGTACATGTCCGCGACGTTTGCCGTGCCATTTGGACTCTCGGGACCAGTCCTCAGGCCAACAAGCAGATCTATAACTTGGTCGACGAAGGGAACAGCACTCAGGGTACATTGGCCGAGCACGTCTCTGACATATTCAAAATCAATCATGATTACTATGGAACCGCTATTTCTACTTTGGCTAAGGTGAGAAAGATATTTGTTTTATCTTGCTTAAACATGTCACACTTCAATAAGACTATCACAAAATTTGAGAAAAAAAATTTGAAACACGTCCATTGGTATCTATTGGTGTATATATCTGATACAAATCAATCTACAGCTGTACATTATCCAATTCATATAAACGGTACTGTTAACAGCAGCTGAACAGTGTCATTGTACTGTCAGTGTGCTCAGCTAGGGTGATGAGCAGGTCTACGAAGGCATTAATGATATTAATAATACACAAATATTTTAACACAAATTTAGTTCATTTTTATTCAACTTCACGTGACCTCTTCTTACTGGTAGGTAATATTTAATAAATTAACTAGTACAAATAGGCGAAAATTGCTCTACTTTATTAGGCGGCTAGCCCTAAAGATATGACTTGGTGTGCTTGATAGTACACTAGTGAAACCTGGCCAGTTTGTTGGCATATCTTGATATGGCTTTGTGCGGGGACCGCTATTGAATTTCTCAGAATCAGACACTAGGCCAGACTGAAGATTTGCTGAAAATTTTATCATAGTACACGCACACACACATCCACACGCACACATACACACACACGCACACAACACACACGCACACACACGCACACACACACACACACACACACACACACACACACACACACACACACAACACACACACACACACACACACACACACACACACACACACACACACACACACACACACACACACACACACACACACACGCACACAACACACACGCACACACAGTGATTATTTTAAATGCGCCAAGATTGAGAAACTCGCGTCATTTAAAGTCCGCACGAAATGTCATTGAATATAAATCGTACGCTATTGCACAGCGAATGCTTACAAGCTATTCAAGTATAAGGAAAAAAACAAACAAACAAGGTATTTGTGTAAAAAAAAAGGTTTATAAAATATTTTTTGTCAAAACCCAGAACCGGTATATGTCACTATTCAAATATTCAATGAAAGAAAAATGAAAAAAAAAAAAAAAAAATGTGTGGCCCATGAGGGGATCGAACCCGCGACCTTCGCGTTATTAGCACGACGCTCTAACCAACTGAGCTAATGGGCCGACGTCTATTTGCATGAAAATTCGTATCCCTTTATAACTGTTGAGTCTTTAAAAAAATCTTACAATAATTTGGTAGGTTTTGTTTCAATAATACTAAAAAATCTTACATTAAAACTACTTAAAGCGTTCAGCTCGTAGTGCCGGTATCGCTTTATTACTATTTCTATTAGAACGAAGTAAGGGAAAACTGTTCAATTTTGACCTAGTGGCTCCAGGACCTACTTACCAATATCCGACCTAATGGTTCTGTTGTTATATATCAACTGGACTTTTATGTTGTTATATTAAGAATTATTATGGTCGAGTTTAGTTTATCTTTGAAGTGGCCTAAAGGATGAGACGTCCGATGCATTCGTATCTAGTGGTGCTCGAATCCCGCAGGTGGGTACACTTTTTTACTAATGAAATACGTACTTAACAAATGTTCACGATTAACTTCGACGGTGAAAGAATGACATCGTGTATGAAAACTCAAACCGGCAAAAATAGAATTTACGTAATTACTAGTGGTAGGACGTCTTGTGAGTCCGCACGGGTAGGTACCACCACCCCGCCTATTACTGTCGTGAAGCAGTAATGCGTTTCGGCTTGAAGGTTGGGGCAGCCGTTGTAACTATACTGAGACCTTAGAACTCATATCTCAAGGTGGGTGGCGCATTTGCGTTGTAAATGTCTATGGGCTCCAGTAACCACTTTACACCAGGTGGGCTGTGAGCTCGTCCGCCCATCTAAGCAATAAAAAAAAAGTAAGGTTCGTCGTTATTGGTACGTAATTAAAATTTGCCGCAGAACGACATAGCGTCCGTGGCGGAGGAAGCCAACGACAAACACCTGACCGCGTGGGCGGACATCTGCCGCAAGTACTCCCTCCAGCACACGCCCCTCGAGCCCAGCGCCGGGGTGGAACTGCTCCTCAACAAGCAGCTCTGCCTGGACGGGACCAAGCTGCGCGCGCTGATGCAACTAGACGTGCCCAGACCTACCGCCGAACTGTTCAGAGAGGTGAGTACGAGGCTGTGTGTGGGTACTGTGTGTACAGCGTGTGTAACTTGAGACCTTAGTACTTATGTCTCAAGGTGGGTGGCAGCATTTACGCTGTAGATGTCTATGGGCTCCAGTAACCACTTAACACCGTGGGCTGTGAGCTCGACCACCCAACTAAGCAATAAAATAAATAAATAAAAAACATCTAGCAGTAGGCAGCGGCTCGGCTCTGCCCCTGGCATTGCTGAAGACCATGGGCGACGGTAACCACTCACCATCAGGTGGGCCGTATGCTCGTCTGCTTACAAGGGCAATAAAAAAAACATCTATAACAGTCCCCGTCTCTTCTCAAAGATGCTTCTTGCAGTAATGCGTTTTGGTTTTAAAAGCGGGGCAGCCGTGGTAACTAAACTGAGACCTCAGAACTTATATCTCAAGGTAGGTGGCGGCATTTTACGTTGTAGATGTCTATGGGCTCCAGTAACCACTTAACAGCAGGTGGGCTGTGAGCTCGTCCACACATCTAAGCAACAAAAAAAAGAGAATGGGCAGCAGCGTTCCCTAAGTATTGTACTAGCGGACTGCACCAACATTTTCGGTATAACGGTAGGATGTACCCTCCGATCTGAAGGATAGGGCAGGCGTTACAAATTCTCAATACAATTGAGACTTGGACCTCACGCCTCGACGCAATAAAAAAAATAGTGTGCGTGCAAATTGGTGCACGTGAAAGAAGTGCATCTTCTTTTGCGGTATTTAGTATTGTGGTTTTCATTTTTCATTCATAATTCAAATTTCTCTTGTAATAGGGAATGCTGTGTATAAGAGAAATGACCTAGCTCGCTTTGTCTTTTCCCTCTCTCCGCGGTCGAGTGGTTCGCGAGACGTTCTGTCTATTTTCTCACTCTCGCTCATCCTAAATTGTATCTTTTCTCTCTAGCCGTAACGAATCTGTCGTGAGTTAAATTTTACCCTCAACGCGCCTAAAGAAGCTTCACTTTAAAATATCCGTCTGCGTCTCGTGAACTCTTGTCGGCCCTCCTGATGGTAAGTGGTTACCGTCGCCCATGGACGTCAGCAATGCCAAAGGCAGAGCCAAGCCGCCGCCCACCGTTTATTACTCTCCATAACGCTCGTTTGTCGAAATGTCGATTGAGCTTTTTTTTTTAAATCAATCTTTTAAATTATATATTTATTTTTCAGGTTTTAGAAGACTATGCTTCGATGCAACTCTTCCCCAAGGAACTTTTACTATGACTGCGCAATTAAAAATCCATACGTATTTTTAACATTTCGTACGTCAACTATGAATAATTGATTTTTATAAATATTTGATTTCATTTAGCGTTTACAGAAGTCGGTGTTTTTAATTTTAAGCTTTCGTTTCGCTTTAGCCTATATTTAATATTCGCTAGTAAAAAACAAAAAAAGTTTTTCGGACACAATGTATAAATACCCTTCGTTTGCTTCACATTAAAAATAAAAATATTTTAACATTATTTAAAAAAAAAAAAAACATTCCATTCATAATTTCGCGTTTGCCTTCAGTATTACGGTTCGATATTTTGAAATTGAGTCATACTTGAAATTCTTATTGAGATGCGCCTAACCTTATTACCACCGGTTTAACGGTGTAAGGATTCAAAGAGAATTGAAAGATACAAAATGACGTATAACTGTAGAATGTCCACACGTTGTGATTTTGGTCGGACGTTGTCTGTGCGCTGCGGTGGCCACTTACACATGAACAATGAATTTGAAGAATAATTTCGATGGAGAAAAAAACAAAAAAAGAGTGATTTTTTTGGTGTCCAATGCGCGCTTTACATTGAAGCTTAGAAATCGAGGTTATTTTAACCTAAAAAAAATCAAAAGCTTTTCTATATAGGTACGAAGGGAACATTAACGTGTGTCTTGTTCGATTTTATAAAAGTCGTTTAATGAAATAAAGTCTCTCTCTCGGACTCAGGGTCTTTGAGAAGTTCCCTTTTCGATAAGGTTTTTTTTTTGATACGAACTTAGATAGAGATGTAACTGAACGCATAGTCGAATGAGTTGAATGTTCGAAAACAATACCTTTTAATGAAGTAGCACCTTCTGTGAACTGGCTTAGTCATGTTAATAGTGTTTGACATTGTTAATGACGGATGCGGTTAAGTTCTACATCGCCCGCTCGTCTGCCAATATAGACGGAAACAAATTAACTGGAAAATAATTCGTACTAAGTGCGATTGGACAAAATCGAATAAAAATTTAGAGGTTAATTAATTTTAAATTGTCAAATATTACATTCACTAAGTGTGTGGGACTGTTTTAGAACACAAAGAACAATCATCGAAAGGAAGTTAATGCTCATTTTATTGTAGATGTTTTGTATCGCAGCACGCAATGTAACGGTAACAACTGAGGTGCGCCAGGTCAACGAACTTTTCGTAATACATGTACGAAGATATCATGTCCTACTAGATTGTCTGTTAGAAAACTTGGCAAATTGAACTTTATTCCTAGTTCACCTTTAGGTAGTAGTAGTACGCTTCGAAACTAGGAATGGGTAAGTGAGAGCCAGGAAAAAAAAAATATATATATAAAAATATTTATTCGACGAACATTGATGTTTTACAACGAGATAAAATCTTAGACAATTTTGATGCTCTTTTAAAAAAAAAAGGCGGACACCTGTGACATTTCTTTCGCCGGTTACTAATGAATGATACTGCATTAAGAAAAACAATTTTCACTTAATATTCTTAGAGCTTTCAAAAAATTTCGCTAATAAACAGCCCAATATTATATAAATTGCATCAGAAATTCTGTAAGTACTAAAATATGATTTTTACAACACCGGAAACAACTAATGCAAAATTATGTTTAATTTGATGTTATAACACTTACTCATAATTACTTTTAACTCATAAAACATCATAATTACTTTTACAGTAATTGAAGACTGTCTGATGATACCAAAAAGCAAACTTAATTTGCTTACCTAACAAAAATTATTAATGGGAAGGAAAAACACTTAGGGATAATACACATGTCAATTTAATAATATTATGTATAAAAATCTTCCAATTTATACACGTGTGGAGTTACTTACACAAGCCAAGAAATAACAGTAACGCAACATTTTAGATTATTATAGAATGAATCTGTAAAACGATTTGATTCAGAAAAAAAATATACAAATGTTTGATAAAAGTTGGTTTCTGGTTATGATCAAAATGGCTAGTAGCGTTTTTTTGTTTTTTGTTTTTCCATAGTTATGAAATTTAGAAGCGATTCTAATTAATTATAAGTACATGGCGATCTATGATTTTGGCTCACTTTTAGCGATAAGACTGGTCTTGTAATTTTGCATATTTTAAAAAAAATATTATTTTGGTGTACAATGAAGCGTATTCAACTGTATTTTTTTTCTTTAATATCATTATCAACGATTTATTAAAACAAAGACATCCGTTCTCTTCCATCCATTATCTTAGTTCAAACTTTGATTCGATGAAATGTCTTAACTATAGTACTTAGTTATGGTACTTAATATTTTAATTTAGTACATAAAGGTGCGAAAATTATTCAGTTTTGTACTCATTTTTTTAAATATATTTCTAAGCGAATGTTAAATTTAGTTATATTTTTTTTAAAACATTATAAATACTTTGAAATTATTCTCTTTTATATACGAATGAAATTGTTTTTAAAAGTAATGACGATAATACAGTATTTTCAACTGTCAACCTGTCAATGTTTGATTTATGGTATTTTAAACGAGTCTCATGTAAAAATAATGTCATGAAATTCTAAAGCGCTTAAATAAACTTAAAAACCAAACTTTTAAGCCGTGCAATAAATATTGCGACTATAATTTGAAATCTTCGTCTCTTGGGAACTTTCGTAGTGTTTTGTTGATTTCATCGCTGATTTTCTGACAAAATGCATATTCTTAATATAAAATATAAGATTACATAGTAATATGAATATCCTATTACTTCTGTAAACATCCGTACTCTATGGTCGAAATATGGGATCTAATTATCTTCCATTGAACTTTGTAGATTTCAATTGCTGTTTTATTTTTAATATACATTTATATAGACTTGTATTATGTTTTTATTTGTAAAAGTAATATGTATATATGAATCGAATTTTTTATATTTTTTAACGAAACCAAGTTTCCGGCTCTACGATTTTTAATAAAAGAATAGAATTTTAGATTTAAGTTTACGTTTAAATCGATAGTGCTAAGCGCAATTCGTATTAAAATTATCGACAATAATTTTTGTATCAAAAAAAAAAAAGAATCCCGATCCGATGGAATTTTAAATCGTCTTCGCTTCGCATTAGATCGCTGCGTACACATTACACGGATCGGGTAGTTATTGTTTGAAGCTTGTGAACATTTTGTACTTGCTATCGATGTATTATCAATAAAAGTATTTGTATAGAAAATTGTTTTAATGGTTATATGAAAATGTGTTATCCGAAAATTTCACGTTTACAAAGAATCTATGGAGGATAGAGGTAAGGAGAATCGTCTCTGTGCGTGTAAAAGTGTCCGTTAAAATCTGCTAAATAAAGTTGGCGCTATAGTAGCAACCGGGTAAATTTAAAAAAAGGCGCTGATAGTTATTAGAATAAGATAGAAACATAAAAAAAGACGAAAGAACTTTTATAACAGGAAGCACTACAAAATCAGAGTATTTTATTTAAAGCTGATAAAAAAATAAAATCGATGTCTCCACGATTTACCACAGTAATAATTTTAGGTTATATTGACGAAATTAGTTTGGCCTACGTAAACATGTAAGGTCTAGTATATTACATTGTCACTAAGGGAACGTACCCATACTACGTGACCCGTTTAGGGGGGGGGGGGGGGGAAGCGGAGTCTTTATAATACTACGGTCAGTCACAGGAGCGGAGGGGTGGCTCAGGTTTTTGTCACGTAGTCGATTTTAGTGAGAAAAATCTCGTATTTTTTCGACCTATATTCGAATATAGCGCGCAGTGTTTAGCGCTTTGTAAACTCACACTACATAATTCAGTAGTAATTTAAATGTGCATGCAGTCTTGTGCAATAAAGACGAGTATGAACCAATTTTTTTTTCTCAATTTTTGCCTGACATGATTAAAAATCATAATTATGAATTAATACGTGAAAACTAAAGGAGGAGAGGGGGGTCTTGGCATATACTACGAGTGATCACCGAGGGGAGGGAGAGGTCGAAAAAACAAAAAAAATAGGTCACGTAGTATGGGTACGTTCCCTAACTACTCTAGTCATTAAATGTATTAAATTTACTAACTCAGCATACTTCAATCAGTTAACAACTGCTCAATTCATATCATATCCTGTGCCTAGCGCCATTCTGGAGGATTTTTGAACTGTTATTTAGTGCTGAAAGTAGGACACTTTTTCAAGCTTCTCCCTTAAAAGACGGTTCCCTTACCTCCACCCTCTATAAATGAATCTAAATGAAAAGAGAATCCATTTTATTGCATACATTGAACGAGCTCTCATCGCTCGATACGAAGGCACTGGGTATCTTGTCTGACCACGATAAGTTCTTTAAAGAATAAATAAAACACATTATTACGTCGCAATTTTATTTAAAATACTAACTAACCTAGTATTAATACTGCAACGAATATTTCTATTTATTGCACACAATCATTTTAATAGTTATATGGAAGAATACAAATATTATGAATAAATAACTAATTTTGACTTAGAGTTACAACATACAATAACAGATGGGGTTGCCATATCCAAAATGAGCATTTTATACTGACTGCTTCATTTGAGTGTATAATATAGTCTGCCTTCTTTACTATTTAGTCACGCAGCTGTTTTTAATACTGATTGAAGTTAATGTCAAACGAACACGGAGGCAATAAAAATTGAACCTAAAAAAATATTTAATTTCTATTAAAATTGAAATTGGCAATATTTTACGTTATAAATTAGTTCTTTTCTTTCATCATAGACAATGTGATATTTATAAATTTCGAAATAAAATCATTTAAACATCTAATTAAGATCGATTTAGCTGTGACGCTGGAGAAATCAACAAATCTGATATTATATTATAAATAATAAAGTGTATCTCATAACCCTGTCAACGGGTGAAAGATTATTTGGTTTAAGCGACATTTTTACAACTTTACAGTAGAGCCGTTTAAAATTTACAATTAGGAAAAAATATCATAACAAAAAACACTTCTTCAGCTATTTGAATGGAACTTAATTAAAGTTCAATTAAAAACTTCGAACTGTTGATGATAATACCAAATAAAACGCACCTTAAAATTACGAAGATAAATGTCACTTAAACCAATTAGCGTTTCAACCCTCGCTGTACTTTTTCAAAGTCAACGTTTCCAATTGCATGCGTCAACTGTCACTGCTTCAGTTGTCAATGTCACACTGGTTGTCAGAGCAAAGTGACAGAGCACGCGATATTACTTATTAATGACAAGTCCACGTAATCAACAACATAGTGGCTAATTTTGTAAATAAACCCTAAACACGCCTGGCTTTTCCGATAAATAGGTGTATTTAAAATGATATCTCTTCTAAACGAGCACATATCAAAAACCAAAATGACAGATAGACTTTTAATATGTTGTGTTAGTTTAAAAAAATATTTCTGTAGTAGCGAGCCGGCACAGGAGCTCACACGCAGCCCTGTATCTAGTATCTACTCATCTCTGAACCAACAGAACCTTCTGGTGTGTGTTACGAGCGCGCAATGTATACTCGTAGTATCGTCATGCGCCTATACATTGCGGTTTAGCTTCCGGGGCTATACACTGATACAACTATGTGGCTTAGAGACTTGAGATGAAACTCTATCAAATGATATTAATGTACATATATAAACTGTTAAAATTTTACTGGTGGTAGGATCTCTAGTGAGTCCGCGCGGGTTGGTACCACCACCCTGCCTATATCTGCCGTGAAGCAGTAATGCGTTTCGGTTTGAAGGGTGGGGCAGCCGTTGTAACTATACTTGAGACTAGAACTTATATCTCAAGGTGGGTGGTGGGTGGCGCATTTATGTCGTAGAAGTCTATGGGCTCCAGTAACCACTTAAAACCAGGTGGGCTGTGAACTCGTCCACCCATCTAAGCAATTAAAAAAAAACCAAACATTACTAACATTAAAAGTCAATTCATTTAAGGAAAACGGAAAAACGTCAATTGTACTTTGACACACAACGACAGCAAATTTCAACATTCCTACGTCACGACGAGCGAGCAAGCGAAACGCGAGATATATAGCCATCTCACTCTTGCATTAGGTTCAAGTCCGTTTCGCGCGACAGAGACAGAAACCGCGGCCCTGTCATCCGTACGTCGTCTCCGGGGCGCCAACGTGGCAGTAGTCCGTGAGTGGGAGTATCACTACTTGTATCTGAAATGAAGAAGTCGATTACTGTCTCCGTGGTGCAGTGGTTAGCGGTACTGACTGTCGAGGCAGAGGGTCGTGGGTTCGATTCCCGCATCGGGCAAACATTGTGTGATAAACAGGTTTGGTGATATACTGTAAGGTCATTTTAATACGTATAAGCCGCACTAATAAATTTAACGAATCTAAAATGGCGTCTATGTACCTGCACTGACAGATGGTAGGGTCAACAAATAAAAAAAAGATAGAAAAAAAAAGTTGTTTATTGTAAAAAAATATAAAAAAACAAATGAAAATGTACTTTACTTTACTTTATACCCTGGCAGAGGGGGAGGTGTCTCATCTGGGATGCAACTTGCGTAGACACTTTTGCTGCCCGTCATCTAAGTCGCACAACTCGATAGTGAAAAAACTCGAACTCAACAACAAAGTCAGAACTGATATTTTTTTTGCATGCAGTACCCGCCGTGTGCGACTAAAAACAGCAATAGTTTAGAGTGAGAGCGGATGTTCGCCGCCGCCATTTTAGATTCGTTTCTTTAATGGCGCGGCTTATAGCATTTGACAATTCATTAAAATTCAACAACGTCACATTATAACGGCGGGCATAAAATAATATTTTTTTTCGTTTTGTCAGTTAAAACTGCTCACTTTTTTTCGATTACGATTACATATTTATTGTAATAATGACCGATACGAGTAATTTTACGATTTGCTTTCACTAATAAACCATTCTAAACATAATAAACAATTTCTGATCTAAAGAACTGAACGTTGTTAGAATGTTGCGTCATTTAAGTAATCGATGTTTTTAAGCAGGTCACCTCACTATGATGATAAAACTGACAGACGTCAAATGTCACCTATTAAAATGACCTCACAGTATGTATATATTTAAACGTATATAAGTATGTATGTCAGTCTGGTACCCATAGCACAGGGAATCCCTGAATGGGGCTGAATGATCGGGCGTACTTTGTTCCCAGTTATAAAAATTATAAAAAAAAATTATGTATTCTACCTGAAGCCGACGATGAAACATGAACAAACCTTATGTCACGCGCCGTGGGGTAGGATAAAGAAAACTCTTCATCAGAATACTAATTAAAACTAAGTTTAGTTATTATGACACTTAAAGTAGACTTCGCTACTTCGCTTCGAATAAAGCTGCCTTCACGTCGCCAATGCCTCGCACGCTTAAATTCATATCGACTATGTCTACTTAGCCTTTTCGGACATGTCATGCGGTCCTTAAGGCATAGTCTGGAAAACCTTCTCATTCTTAGTCAAGTTGAGGGGATACGAGGAGAGGATCGAGAAAAGAAAAGAGTAGGAGGCAGCATCCAACAGACGTTCCACCTCGCAGCGGACCGATCTTCATGGAGAGACTTACATACGTGTGGTCGAGAACCTCAGTAATGAGGGAACGACGAAGAAAAAGAAGAATATCTACAAATTTCCAGAACATTCCCGATAATACTATGGGTTGTTTTCGATATCTCTAAAACGTAGTTTCTGCGGAGCACTGCTCTTGCTAGAACTGGTGTTAGCAAATTCTCTCAGGTTATGCCCGTGAGCTAAGACTACCAGTCTATATAATAAGTATATAATAAGTAAAACAATGTAACTGTTCTTCTTCTTTTTCTTCACCTTATTCTACTAGGTGGGATCGGCACAGCTATTTTTTCTCTTCCATTTTCTTCTATCAGCCGTTATTTCAACACTCACTCCTCTCCCTCTCATATCGGCATTCACACACTCCATCCGTGTCTTCTTCGATCGACCCTCTTCCCGCTCTATCTTGCACTACTATTTCCACGAGAGCAGTGCTTCGCAGAGTCTACCACTGGATCGGAATCGTAACCCACTGAAAAGATTCGGCGAGAAACTCATTGGGCTGCGTGGGTTAGTTCGCGGCGGTTTTGCGTTGCTTCATCGCCTGGGTTGGATAAGAGTTGCATTCATTGAAAATTGAGTCGCGCTCTTATCGGTTCAATTAGAGTTAGAGAATATAATGTTTCTAGTGATACCTTGAGCTGGTCCCCGTTGGCGCCGAGCAGGTGTTTGACCTCCGGCGTGTCGCACGCGTCCGTACACTTCGCACAGCGTCTGTAACATAACGTTACATTAATATAACTGCATCCTGTTTTGAGTTTTTTTTTATATCACGGTGAATAATTGAATAAATTGAAATTGTTATATTGTATAAAATCGTCACCTTTGTTGCGGACGCAGTACGTACCTGTGCGTCGGATGCAGGGCGCGAGGTGCCTGCCCACTACGTACCTGTGCGGCGGGGGACAGGGCGCAAGGGACCCACTACGTACTTGTGCGATGGGGGGCAAGGCGTGGGGGACCCACTACGTACCTGTGCGGCGGGGTGCAGGGTGTGGGGGACCCACTACGTAGGTACCTGTGGGCGGGGAGCAGGTTGCGGGGGACCCACTACGTACCTATGGGGGGGGGACAGGTTGCGGGGGACCCACTACGTACCTGAGGGCGGGGGGCAGGGTGCGGGGGACCCACTACGTACCTGGGCGACGGAGGGCAGGGCGTGGGGGACCCACTACGTACCTGTGCGACGGGGGACAAGACGCGGGGGACCCACTACGTACCTGTGCCACTGGGGGCAGGACGCGGAGGACTCACTACGTACCTGTGCGACGGGGGGCAAGACGCGGGGGACCCACTACGTACCTGTGCCACTGGGGGCAGGACGCGGAGGACCCACTACGTACCTGTGCGACGGGGGGCAAGACGCGGGGGACCCACTACGTACCTGTGCCACTGGGGGCAGGACGCGGAGGACCCACTACGTACCTGTGCGACGGGGGGCAAGACGCGGGGGACCCACTACGTACCTGTGCCACTGGGGGCAGGACGCGGAGGACCCACTACGTACCTGTGCGACGGGGGGCAGGGCGCGGGGGGCGGTGAGTACAGCGGGGTGTTGAGCGCGTCGAAGTCGAGCGCGGCGTCAATGTTCAGAACTCTGCAACACAGAAGCCACGTCATGTCGTGCTCACTGGCCGCTTATCTCACGCTGAAGGCAAACACAAACCACGATATGACGCTTTAAATTCGAATTGTAACAGATTACTTTTGAAGTGAAGCTTCTTTAGGCGCGTTGAGAGTAAAATTTAACTAAAGACAGATTCGTTACAGCTACAGAGAAAAGATACAATTTAGGAAGAGCGGAGTAAGTAAATAGACAGCGTCTCGCGAACCACTCGACCGCAGAGTGAGGGAAAGGACAAAGCGAGCTAAGTCATTATTTACTTTAGCGACATCTGATGGATGTTATTTAAACTACTACATTGCAAGGTCAACGACTTACAGACAACAGTTTAGTTTCTAAAACATTATCCGAGAGTGGTATTTTAAATAAATTAATAACCATTTTAATTATGTATACTGATATTATAAAGAGGAAAGATTTGTTTGTTTGTATTGAATAGGCTGCGAAACTACTAAACCGATTTGAAAAATTCTTTCACTGTTTGGAAGCTACACTCCAATAAGTCACCCAAGGTGTAAAAAAATTACCTAAAATATTATTTACATCGCGTGCCCTGCGAAAACTATTGATGATAGAATAAAATAATGTACTACGACTTTGTAGAACACAATATTGTTTAAAAAAAGTTTCGGGACAGCATATATCTAACTATTATAGTTATGCCGCAATAAGTGTTCTTTTATTTAAAAAAATAAAACAACGTCAAATATCGTTGAAATTTTTGTTAAAGACCCGAGCGGAGCCATAGCGGGCCGCTTCACTAATAAAATTATTAAGTACTAGCGACCCGCCCTCGCTTCGCTTCAGAAACATTAAAACACAAATGAAACAAAAAAAAAAAAATTAAAAAAATATTAAAAAAAGTAGCCTATGTTCATCAGGGACAATGTCGGCTTCTAATGGAAAAAGAATTTTTCAAATTGGTCCAGTAGTTTCGGAGCCTATTCGAAACAAACAAACAAACAAATCTTTCCTCTTTATAATATTAGTATAGAAAACCTAGTCTCGTTCGATAATCATCGAATAGGTATCGGCAACAACTACTTTGTGTTGTGTGACTAGGAGATGTATGGAAATGGTAGTGCAAGGTAGAGGGGGAAGACCGAAAAAGACAGGGATGGAGTGTGTGAAGGACGATACGAGAGAGAGAGAGAAGTGAGATTTGAGATGACGGCTGATAGAAGAGAATATAATAGAAAATTCGCTTTGCCGACCCCATCTAGGGGGAAAAAGTGGAGACAAAGAAGAAGTTGAGAATTTCTTGCACCAGTTTTTATTTACATCGTCTCAAACTTTTTGTCGATGTGTTGCATGTCGCGTGACGGTCGGCCGCGGAGTAGGGATAAAGTGAATGGCGCTAGTTAGAGCAGCCAAGACCAATATGGCGGCGGACTTAGTCTACTTTTATCCTTTCCCTTGTCATTCCAATTTTCCAAGTATAAATATACCCTTAATGGAATATTATTCCAAAAATTTTTAGTTCAATATCTGTAATGTGAAAAAAAAATTCAATTTTACCGTGGTTTCATAAAACCACACAATCCTTTTTTTATTAAAAGGCCAAATTCAATTAAAATCAGATTTAGTGTTAGAATGTAGAGTGTACTTTACCTGTTTTGCGCAGAAAATCTGTGTACACGTTCGACAACGGACGACACGTGCTCGACGCCCTTTTGCACGCCCCACACCAGCACGCCGATCTGCGGAGCGACACAACTATGGAGGGTAGAGGTAAGGAGAACCGTCTCATATGGGAGAAGCTTGAAAAAGTGTCCCACTTTCAGCACTAAATAACAGTTCAAAAATCCTCCAGAATAGCGCTAGCATAGGCACAGTGTATGATATGAATTTAGCAGTTGTTAACTGATTGAAGTATGCTGAGTTAGGAAATTTAATATATTTAATGACTAGAGTAGTTAGTGACATTTTTAGGTACATAGTCCAAATTTATTTCGTCAATATAACCTAAAAATTATTGCTGTGGTAAAACGTGGAGACATCGATTGCATTTTCTTATCAGCTTTAAATAAAATATTTTTTGTGATTTTGTAGTGCTTACTGTTATAAAAGTTCTTTCGTCCTTTTTTATTTCTCTATCTTATTGTGATAGCTTTCAGCGCCTTTTTTTAAATTTACCGGTTGCTACTGTAGCGCCACCCTTATTTAGCAGATTTTAACGGACACTTTTTCACACACGGGGACGATTCTCCTTACCTCTGCCCTCCATAGACACAACCTACACACCGCGCCTCGATGAGTGCATTGTCTATGTATAAGTATAGTGCGTTTCAAATAAGAATTTGCACGTCAATGACTTTGATCTGTCAAAGTTCGATTGAAAAAAGTATGGACAGCAACAACAACAAAAATTAACTTAATTTTTTTTCCTAATTATGAAAACTATTATTATGTTTGCGTATGTATGTGTATATTTGTTTTAATGAACCATACACACCTATATAATTTTCTTGATATATTGAGTACTGGTCAGGGTAAATTAATTAATTACATTTTTTACGGGGTGTTTTGTAACACGTTGTATATTGTAAATCGATTTAAACTAGTGCAACAATGAACTTAAGACATTTTAGGAAAAAAAATACAATCATCATCACATTTTTTTCTTCTTTTATAAGCTCACCTTGACTCTGACGTCGGGCTCAGTTTGTTCTGGTTCCCCGTACTGGTCCAGCGCGGGCTCCGGACAGTTCTGGCACGTGATCGATATGCGCACTGTGCGCAACACCACCTCCGGAACCTGACAAGTTCGTACTATTCTACTACCAACGTCACAGACAAAGAATGTAAAGTTTATCGAATTTATCTACTACTAGTAAAGCGGGTCGCGCTTCGCTCTGACCATGGGTAATTGATTACTGGTGATAGGACGTCTTGTGAGTCCGCGCGGGTAGGTACCACCACCCTGCCTATTTCTGCCGTAAAGCAGTAATGCGTTTCGGTTTTAAGAGTGGGGTAGCCGTTGTAACTATACTGAGACCTTAGAACTCATGTCTCAAAAAGGTAGGTGGTGGTGGGTTATATTATTATGCTATGTTGAGTTGACTCTTGATTCTCTTTGGAATAATTAAATAAATAATGATTCTAAGGAATTTATTAACCATTTAATATCATACAAGAATACCACACTAAAATTAAGAATTGGCATAGTATGGTATATTGGAATTAAAACAAACACTCGTTGAATCAGTGTTGCCATAACCACACGACCTGGATTGCTGTTAAAAAAAAATAAAAACCTTAACTTACATCATAAGTACCGGCCCAGACAATGAGCAGGCTCTTCTTGAACCAGACGCCCTTCGGGTACAGGTCCACGGTCCACTCCAGAAGCTTGTCGTGAGGGGGGACGTCCGACATGGTGGGACGAGTCGAGAATATAAATGTCCTTGTGTGGTAGCATGGGAGGGAGTGGAAGTTGTCCACCGCTGTGGGAGTGTCAATATACTTTTGTGGTCATTTGGCAATTTAGTTTTTATTACTCTTGTAGGCAGATTAATACAGCCCGCCTGATGGTGAATGGATATCGTCGCTCATAGCTTTCAGCAATGGCAGGGGAACAGTCAAGCTACCGCTTTAAATTTAATCCGAATTATATTATTACGAGAACGTTAAAAAACTCGCACTAAGCATACTACAAAAAATCACGCCTCTACGAACACCCTGCCGTATTAACATTTACCTGGATATAAAGTATCTTATAAATTCAGGCTATAAGATAATATGATTGTACGAAATTTTATTCGAATCTGATATTAATTAAAAAAAAATTTAAGCATTTGTAATTTACCTCCGAAATTTCGAAAGTTTAAATGTAGTTTTAGTTCAGTTTACGATTCACGAGAACTGAAGAATATAATGAATATTGAGTGCTTTTATTATGACTAGAGGTCAGAGTAGGTAGATTGATTTGAGGTCATTGACGTCAAACGTTGAGGATAATATGGATATGCCTCCAAAATATCGGAACTTCATATTTTTTGTGATATTTGTTCCGGAATTTTGAAATTAGCATAAATCTGTGTTTAAGGTGAAAAACGTATTATTAATATTAATCTACGCTGCCAGTGCTAGCTAATGGTGAAAGAAATCAGTATTTTATTTTATACAAAAACACCTTGGAATAGTTACACCGTATTTTGTCCCTTTCTGTTGAATTGGAAATGACGCTTGTCAGTATAAGACAAAACTTAGACAGGGCTTATTGTTACTTTATCTCATAAATATAGAAATTGTATCCGATGAGGATTAAAAATATTTTTTTTTCAATTTAAAAAATAATCATTATGGATAAAATGGCATGTCCATATTATAATAATATCTTGACGCAAGTATATAAAATCAATCTACCTACTCCGACCACTGATTATGACAGAGGAATAACAGACATGCAGTAGGTACGTTCGTTTATGATACGAATGTTGGATTACCCAGGATGGATCCCCACGTGTCCTCGGTGTACAGTCGAGGAGTGAACAGCATCCGACCCGCCTCCGTCTGCTGCACCTCCGCCACCCGCTCGTACTGACCTGCGCGACCACAAATCAGTCCTTATACCAGCGCCACCAGGACCACCAGGTCTCCCACGGACCCCTGGGTACTTTTACTATCTTTAGTCTTGGAGTCCCGATAATTAGTTTTTTTAATTTTATTGTATTGATAGAGTGGTTACTGAAGCTCATAGACATCAACAACGTAATTGTATAATATATATAAGTTCTAAGGTATCAGTATGGTTACAACAGCTGCTCCACCATTCAAACCGGAACGCATTACTGCTTCACGGCAAAAATAGGCAGAGTGGTGGTACCTACCTGTGCGGGCTCACAAGAGGTCCTACCACCAGTAAGTACCCTGCCTTATGACGTTACCTGACTGGTAGCTCATGGCGATGGCCATCCTCTCCATGAAGAAGTCCTTGTGCTCCTGGGTCAGCGGACAGAGCAGCAGCTTCGCCAGCTGGTTTGGACACATCATCGGGAACCTGAAATATACGGGATTCAATGGGAGGAAACTTCAAGAAACGCTAAACTAGAATACTAGTCGTTTTCAATCCCGCCAAACGCTAAAACTCGGTTATCTGAAGATTCTAATTTTGATTGTTGACAAATATTATTTATTATTATCAGAATAAAATTATGAATAAACGTGATAAAATAATTAAAATTAAAGTAACTTAATTTTTATTTCTTAGTAGTTGACCCGGCAGACTTCGTTGTGCCTCAATCGATAAATAAAATACCTAAGCTTTTGTATAAAATAAACTTAAAACAAACAAAAGGAATCCGTCCGACGGGTGATAATAAAAGGAAAAACAAAATTATTATTTTTATTTAATTCCGAGCATTTTCATATTTATCTACCTTTTAAACCTTCTCTAGACTTCCAATAATGATTCAAGAGCAAAATTAGCCAAATCGGTCCAGCTGTTCTCGTGTTTTAGCGAGACTAACGAACAGCAATTAATTTTTATATATATAGATTTTCAGAATAAGATTATGAATAAACATGATCAAATAATTAAGATTAAAGTAATTTAATTTATATTTTGTATTCGAGGGTGAGGAATTAATGTTTTGGTTGAAACTCGCGACCAAAGAAAGACCAGAGAAAGAAAACAATAAGAAATTAATATTTCCGAGATCTACTTTTTTTTCTCCTACCTATTCGCTGATAGAGTAAGAGGCTACGCCAGCTACGCCCGGGCGAGTAGGTGGGCTCACGGAATCAACCTAAGAGAATTTGCTAACACTAGCCTTAGTAAGAGCAGTGCTCCGCAGAACGTACCACTGGATCGGAATCGCGGCCCACTGAGAAGATCCGGCGAGAAACTCATTGGGCTGTGTCTATGGGTTAGTTCGCTAATCGACGAATTCGACGAGAACGGTGACCGGTGCTTGGGATCTAAAAGCACCGAGAGTGGATCCAGGAGGAGCAAGAGATGTCTCGGGCGGCGGCGGCTTTGCGTTGCCCCGTTGGGGTCGGATAAGCGGGGACCTGCCTGAAACGATGGATCGTATTCGCTCATGATATTTATTATCTCCATTTTTCTCGACTGCTCCAGTAGCAGCAGTATCGAAGGTAACGTGAGCCATGATGGCCAGCGCACGTACCTGATGTGCGAGAACACGGCCGCCACCAGCGACTCCCAGTGCAGCTTCTTCTCTGCTTCATTGAGATCAGTCCTGTCCAGCTTCTCCCGTTGCTTGTTCAACCATCGCACCACGAACCTTCAAGAATTAACATGCTCTTATAACAAGATTATTGGTACTGGTGGTAGGACCACTTGAGTCCGCGCGGGTAGGTACCACCGCCCTGCCTATTTCTGCCGTGAAGCAGTAATGCGTTTCGGTTTGAAGGTTGGGACAACCGTTGTAACTATACTGAGACCTTAGAACTTATATCTCAAGGTGGGAGGCGCATTTACGTTGTGGATGTCTATGGGCTCCAGTAACCACTTAACACCAGGTGGGCTGCGAGCTCGTCCACCCATCAAAGCAATAAAAAAATTAATCTCAAGGTGTGTGGCGCATTTACGTTGTAGATGTCTATGGGTTCCAGTAACCACTTAACGCCAGGTGGGCTGCGAGCTCGTCCATACATCTAAGCAATAAAAATAAAGACTCTTCTGAACTCTTCAAATATAATAATATAAACATTTCGTCTTCTCGCGTTTAAGGTTTAACATATTGTGATATTTTTAATATCAATCATCTTTGCAACATTTATTTTTAATTTTTACCAGTTACATTATCTGTCTTTTAAATTAAGTATTAATTTTGTTAATAGTTGTCAAAACATAGGTAAATAAAAAACTAAAACTAAACTACGTTCTTTTGACAGTATTTATGAGAAAAATACGGGTGATACCAAATGATTCCGCATATTATTATATTTTTTTTAATTATTTTTTTGCTTAGATGAGTGGACGAGCTCACAGCCCACCTGGTGTTAAGTGGTTACTGGAGCCCATAGTCATATACAATGTAAATGCGCCACCCACCTTGAGATATAAGTTCTAAGGTTGTATAGCTACAACGGCTACCCCACCCTTCAAACCGAAACGCATTACTGCTTCCCGGCAAAAATAGGTGGGATGGTGGTACCTACCCGTGCGGACTCACAAGAGGTCCTACCACCAGTAAACAGAGTATTAACTCAATTTCGAATATTTTAGGAAATTGTACACTTTTAATGTGAAAAAACGATTCGTCAATCAGCTTACTGGTATAAGGTGATCTCATTGTGCAGCACGAGGTCCGTGTGCTGTAAGAGTTGCACCAGCGTGTCTCCCTCCAGCTCGGCCAGTGCTGCTTCAGACCACACCCACTCCACGTTCCACTTCACGAAGTTCTGGCAAGCCTGCAGCACAACTTCAATTTAATCTGCCTCATCAGAAATCTTGTTATCGGCACGAGTCAACCAAGAACAGTACTTAATTATTAAATTAGCTTCAGACGTATGTATGTATGTTAGTATATAACGGAATCTTTGAACATGATTTTGACCCCCTTCAAAACGTCGGATTAACTCGAAATTTTGTATACTTATTAAGGACCGATGACAAGTAAATATAAAAAAAATTGGAAAAAAAAATTGAAAAAAATATATTAAAAAAATTAAAATTCAACTAAAAAACGAAAAATAATTGTAGTTTAAAAAAACTAACAAAATACGCTTAGAAAATCCAACTAAAAAATACAAAATATAATTTAATAAATTTGAATTAAAAATAGTGTAAGAAAAAAATATTTCATTGTAAAAAAGGCGTGGGGTGCTTTTCAGGATATTATCAAAATAATCCTTCTACTTATATCTGTTCATAAAATCTATATATTAAAACGTGAAGCAAAAACATTGTAGGTACCCCTTTTTAAGAAAATTGCGCGGATGGAGAAGTATGAAATTTCCCACACTTATAGAGAATATAGAGGAGTGCAAAACGCTTTTTTTTTTAAGTAATGCATAATACACTAGCTGACCCGGCAGATTTCGTAGTACCTTAAAAAGACCTAAACTTTTGTATAAAATAAACTTAAAACAAACAAAAGGAATCCGTCCGACGAGGGACACATCAAAGGGAAAACAAAATGATTATTTTTAATTAAATTCCGAGCATTTTCATATTTATCTACCTTTTAAACTTTCTCTGGGCTTCCACAAATAATTTAAGACCAAAATGAGCCAAATCGGTTCAGCCGTTCTCGAGTTTTAGCGAGACTAACGAACAGCAATTCATGTTTATATATATGTTGGAGTATTTCCACTTTCGGGTAGCGACATGGTAAGCGGGTGGTCTTCGTAAGTCAATAAAACCAGAAATGTTAACTCAGAGCGTATATTACGCACGGAGCGTTCCGTCTGATACGGCGACTCGCTCGCTTCTGAGCTCGAGATTTTTTTTTTTCCTACCTATGCTGATAGCCTTGAGAGGCTATTTCAGCTTCGCCCTAACGTTTGTAGGTGAGCTCGCGGGGCTCAACCGGAGAGTTGCTAAAACTGACCCTAGCAAGAGCAGTGCTTCGCAGAATCTACCACCGGATCGGAAACGCGACCCACTGAGAAGATCCGGCGAGAAACTCAGTGGGCTGTGTCTATGGGTTCGTTCGCTCGTCGAGCCCTTCGTCGCAAGCGACGGGTTCGACGAGGACGGTGACCGGTGCTTGTGGTGCCTAAAAGCACCGTTAATGGATCAGGAGGATCCGTAATGACGTGCCGAGCTCGAGAGACAACAACGGAGCGTTTTTATAGCAAGGTATCGTGGTGGGACGACGTTGTTTACGACTCTTATCTTGCACGTGTTGTTTTCGATGAATGCTTGCACGTGTTGTTTGTCGTCCCATCTTTATTAGTCATGAACTAATGGTTTATAAAAACACGCGCCGACATATATAGATAGAAGATAGATTATATCAAGAAAAAAAAAATACATTATACACACTACCATGTATTTGACACAATGGGACAATTAGATTCTTGGTTATTTGTCAAACTTTTCTTATTGCATAAAGTCTGTGGACAAATTGAGAATGTCTACAGTGTAGTCTTGGCGAAATCTGTGATTAAAGAAGTAAAATAGTCTTTGACAATAGAACCATAATAATGTTCAAATTTATAATTTCAATTAATTATAGTCGAATTTCCACTACTTGGGGACACTAGTATTGATTATTTTGGTAATGGCAATTCCCTATACATCTTATATTCCCTATATCACAAGTATTCCTTAAAAAAATTAATCACGTCAATTATCTTGACTGTTTTTAGAAATTAGTAGCAGTACCGGTTAACTTTAAAACTCTACCTTGGCAACATCATTGTGTCCGCAACCCATGGTGTATTGCATCCAAGCTATGAGTTGTCCACGCTTGGCAGCTTGGGCAATGTGCTGTGACATATAGCTCAGACATAATGTCACCAGATCCTGGAAACCAACCAATTTATATAGATCCTATTAAATTATATTAACGGTATATGTTTCTGCTGATGATGCAGCCTACACCCATTTATTCTTAATTCATACTATCAATATTTAAAAGGCGTAAGTTAAATTGAGAGATTCATCATTGTGGCCTGAAGAATGGCTAGTTTATTAACCAATGTAAATAATTATGTAAAAATGTAAAAAAATTATTAACCAATGTAAAAAAAATATACATATTTATAAGCTAAGTGTGTATATGTCGGAATCTTATTTTGACTGACTTCAAGAAGTCTGATTAACTTGAAAATTTGCACACGCATGAAGGACCAATAACAATACAGTTATTTTATAATTTTGCTTTAATATTCTGACCAGTGTCTGATATGCAGATGTTCAGTAGTAGATGAAAATTATCATTTGCTATTTTCTATTTAAATGTATTTGTGTGTTTAGACTAAAAAGGTTTTCGACTATCTCAACCTTAATACTCGAAATTTAGTTTACCTTAACATTATATTTGTCAGCGAGTGACAAGACTGGAAGCACTGTGTGATAGGATATCCTAATCTGACCCGTGTAGAAATACCTGGAAACATTTTATTTGTCTCATTTAAATATAGTATTTTTAATTTATTTTCATAATCTACTTTATATTATAATCTTATTCAATTTTTTTAAAAACTTAATAATCCAAACAACTTTTATATGTCTAACCCTTTCATTACAGCAGGCTTCGCTGTAGACTCTGAGCTGATAATGCGCACATCACTTATCCTGTACAGATAATATTTTTCAGCCGGTGGCGTTTTGTGGCAGGTGAGTATAGTTACTTTTTTTTAATGCCTTTGTAGGCAGGCACATGGCCAACCAGATGGTAAATGGTCACCGTCGCTCATGAACGTCAGCAATGCCAGAGGTAGAGCCAAGCCTAGCAAACTGCTACTGCTAGTAGCAAAAGCCTTAAATAATAAGGAAAAACTTACTTTAGAAAATGTGGGAAGACTGATGCCGCAGAAGGTGTCTCCTGTAGGACTATGCGACTTTCCCTCCACTCACTCCATTCTCTGTTCATTAACATAACCTGCAAACAGGCTTTGAACTGAAACCTCTAGTGTGTATTATATCATTATTCCTTTGAGTAACCTTCATCGATTTGAAAGAAGTGCTTAGACGTGTTTGCTCTTAGAGTGCTTGCATTCATTAAGCTCTTATAACTACAGCTATATGAGTTATTGTTAAAAATATTACTTCATAATACACACATAATAATTGACAACATTTCAAAAAATTAACATGCATAAAATTCTCTATTCTCTAGTCTATAGAATAAAACGAATTCAAAACCAAATTCATGAATGAAAACTATCTAATTTCCAAAAAATTTATAATATGGGTCTGTTTATTTCGAATCTAGTATCAATTAACATAATAATATGAGTATGTTAAAAAAATGAAATGTTGTCAATTGTATATTATTATTACAATATACAAACATTACCGCATTATTCTTATCTTCAACATAATACTGCACAGTGATATCAATTTAAATAAACTTACTGTGCAGATATTTCATATTATTTCTCAAAAAAGAGTTTTTATTTATCTATTGCCCTTGTAGGCAGACGATCCACCTGATGGTGAGTGGTTACTGTCGCCCATGGACTTCAGCAATGCCAGGGGCAGAGCCAAGCCGCTGCCTACTGCTTAATACTCTCCACAAGCCTCGTTGGAAAAAGAGTACAAAAACACGAGTGTTATAGCAATGTATCTAGTTAAAAAATTGTAATTATTCATTTAATAATTACCTGAAAAACTTCACTACTAGCACATAATATTAATCGATGAGCTGGGTATCCAACTCCAGCTACTTCGAGGGTCAGATCACTCATCAGCTGCTCAGCATACAGAGTTGCTATCTTCAGCAGCACACTTTTTGAATTATCCACCTGTAATAATTATGTCATATCACTTGTATGTATATATTCAGCAGGTTTATTGACAGGCAAAAACTTCTGACATTAGCATAGGTTTTGACATTGTTAATAGCATGAGCAACACTTAACAAACATGTACATAAGTCAAAACAAAAAAATATAATCCCATGAATGAACTAGCTCATAGTTAGTCTTGAAGGTGACTAGTAAGTTTAGTCAAATTTTGTAACAACTATTCGAATCTTTCAAATTAGGATGCATTTTGGATATGTAGCAGAAATAGATCAAGTGGTAGTATCTACATAATATGTGGGCTCTGAATATGCTCTTAAGCCAGTAATTACTGGGAGTTATAACTTTGTAAATCATCAGCTATAAATCATTACTAAGCAATGTTATTGTTTCATTTTGGAAACTGTTGATAAAAACATTTAGGACAAATTTTCTTATAAAAAGTGTGGTTAAATATCTGGAGACCTACAGTGTGATATGTTTATGCTACAGTAGGATCTTTCGGACTGCAACAACTTTGTTGCAAAACAAACAAACTGCCCTCCGGATTAAAATCTTCATTGAAGACAAAATATTTCGAAAACTGCATTCATTAACGTTTCATAATTGTTCGCATTCATAATTGTTTCACAAAACGATAGTTTTATTGAATTTAAAATTTTATGCCGGCTTTGAAATTAGACATCAAAACCAGTAGACAATAAATTGTGTTGTAGGAAACCAGTGGTTTATTTTCTCAATATCCATTTTTTTTTTATTCAAGTCGGCTTTTATAGCTCTGTTAAAGAAATAATAAATGCGAGTAATTTGGAACAAAAACGTTTCAAAATACTTTGCACCAAGGCTCCTGGGTCATCTAGAAATTTATCCGATTCTCTTACAGTGCCAATTGGCAAATTACTAGATAGATTAAATACAGCTCACCTCAAGGTCCTCGTTTGGTTCAGCATCCTCAGGTGGTTTCTCCATCGAAGGATTCGGTCCGTCCACTGTCAGGTAGCTCATGTCTCCCACTCTTGGTCCATATGAATAAAACGACAACTTACAACAATACGCTAAATATAGTCTGAATGTTAGCAGAAATCAAGATTTCGATTAAATACATGTGTCATAACTTTTTTGTTTTCTTTATTCTTTAATTTAAGCACCTACCATTAATTTTGGTTCGCTGTCTGGCTGTCACAAACAACGACGTATTTTATTGTCATTTGTCATTGTTTTATAGTGGGTGAAGGCACTGATATTATTTGCAGAGGTGTAGGAGTGAACATTTTAACGTAGATGTACAGTTATGGCATCTATTGAGGATTATTTCCCCTATACATAAGGCTTAGATAGTTGTAGTTTATGTAAAAAGTATATAAATGTCGAAAAATTAAACAATATCGCTGGAGGGAACTTCTCTGATAGAATAGATTTCATGTAGGCAGGTAACAAAATATACCTATCAGCATAGGAAGGAAAAAAAAAAGAAAAAAAGAAAAATAGAACTTCGACTATTTGACAGTTTGACATTGGCAGTTACAAATAATTGGCAGTAAACAAACTTGAGTTCAGTGGTGAAATATGAAATAATTCAAAACGTTAGTGATTACGGTGATTACGTGCTTATGTTGATACTATTTTTTTAATTAAATTGATCATGTAAATAGTTGGTAAACTGCAAAAATAAGATAAAATTATTTTTCTGACCGAATTGGAAAAACATCAATATAATTTATACAATCATGGGACCGAAAAAGAGGAAGAACGTTATCTTTTTAACTTTGTGTGTGGCTATAAGTTTTATAGTATACCAGATGTATTTCTTATGGTCATTCATGTCTGAAAAATCAGACAGGACTAACATGATAGTGCCTATCGTTGATCACTCTGTAATAAAAGAAATTAAACACGTTTATTCGAACGCGGATAAGTTTATAAACGAGAACGGTGTTATCCGAGGAGTATTTTATCCGAACATGAAACTTTACCGTCCCGATTCCAAAAATCAATTAAAATGTTTAAATTCAGAACAGAGAATACCATATGAATATTTAAATGACGAATATTGTGATTGTGAAGATGGAACAGATGAACCTAGTACCACCGCATGTGCTAATGGTACATTTTACTGCGATACACAGTATTCAACGAAACCCACAGCTATAAATTCAGTGCCTTCCGGTAAAGTAAATGATGGAATATGTGACTGCTGTGATGGTTCTGATGAATGGTTAAACGGAAACAAAAAACTACTTTCCCAAAGTTTACCAAAATATATAAGGCATTATGTCATGAAGTGCTCAAATAACTGTAAATGAGTGTTAATTTATGTAGTATTAAAAGTTTTAACTTTTTTTTCAACTTGTTTCATTTAATTTTTTGAAATATAGATACATATTTTTAATTGAAGATTAATAAGGATTTTTTTTTCCTTGTTGCTTCTATGATTCTGTGATTAGGAACAGGCAGACACAAAAACTTTATGATAAGTTGTGATTGAAAAATGAAAAATGAATACATCTAAAAGTGTCTAGTCTACAGATTTGTAACTAAGCAAAGATAAGACTCCAAATTCACAAAATTCAAACTGGCTTTGAAGAAGTAGTGGAGCTATTGTTCTGCTGATTATCTGGTGGTAGGACCTCTTGTGAGTTTGCACGGGTAGGTACCACCACCCCGCTTATTTCTGCCGTGAAGCAGTAATCCGTTTAGGTCTGATGGGTGGGGCAGCCATTGTAATTATATAGAGACCTTAGAACTTATATCTCAAGGTGGTGGCGCATTTAAGTTGTAAATATCTATGGGCTCCAGTAACCACTTAACACCAGGTGGGCTGTGAGCTCGTCCAACCATCTAAGCAATAAAAAAAACCAGGATGATAGTACAATAAGATGCTTTCATCAAAGTAGAACATTGGTCTGGTGAAAAAATAATAAATGCTTGAATCCCTTCCTTTTTCCCATCACCATCTGAGTTGAAAAACTGAACAATGTGAGAAACCTCTGGTGTGAAATCTTACCAAGATTTTGGCCCTAGTGAAATCACGATGTTATGAGCCGGGATGTGATGACGGGTTCGACGAGAACGATAACCGGTGCGGCGGTGCTTGAGATACCTAAAAGCACCGTTAGTGGATCGGGAGGATCCGAAATGACGTGTATTGGGCGACGTAGACTGCTTTCCATTCTGTTTGCAGGATCGGGAATGTAGTTACCGGCGGCCACGATGAGAGGGTTCTCGTGTCGTGCCGCTTTCTCGAAATGAGTGCCGATAATCTCACCTATAATACAAACTAAAAAGTGAAAATCCTCTTTCAACTTTTAAAAGTGTAATAATCAAACTTCAACCCCATGAATACGTTTATATGATCCTTCTTCTAACAACGAAGTAAGGTTCTTACACGAAGTTTGCGTTTTATTACGAAAACTTTATGTGAAGCCACAATTTTGGGCTTCCTTTCCTTCCTTTCTCTATCCTTGGCCTCAGCGAAACTAATATGCGCGGAAACGGGCATTATTGACTACAGTAAAGCCTTTGATTTTGTGAATAAGGATCGTTCGGTTATGGTGCGTGTTGACTCCAAAGAGTCCTTGAAAACTTAAAAACACGAAAATGTCAACATTGAGTAAAGCTAAAATGCTGAAATGAAAAAGTCTTCTATTGAGAGTAAACGTATTTACTTCAACTTTTACGGTAGGCAGGCGCTTGGCTTTGTCCCTGGCATTGCTGACTTCCATGAGCGACCACTGTAACCACTTACCATCAGGTGGGCCGTACCAGGTGGCCGTCTGCTTGCACGAGCAAAAAAAAAAAAACATATTGTTATGTGTGTAAGTAGAATCACAGCTACAGTGGTAGGTTTATAGTATAGTTTATAGTATTGTTTCACACGCAAATTGGTTAAATGCGTGGTGTGCATTTTAATGTTAAATGATACCGTCGCACACAAAACACCAGCGTTAGGGGAAAAACAAATCACCATCTAAATTTAAAAAGAATACAATTCTAAGCGAACCACTAGCCATACACAAATACCATATTTATTTACCTACTTTAATTATTTACATTTGTAAAGTGTGTTATATCAGCTGCAGTCTGTAATTTCTAGTCAATTCAGTCTCTTCAGTAAAGGTCATAATCATTATTTCAGAGGAAATAACAAAATCAGATACATTTTATTCTTAAATTTTTTTAACAGCTTATCCTTTTTCGTTTACCTCTAATAACTCCAGTGAAAAAGCACTGCGTTTGGTATAATCTTACCAGTAAATTATGTTAGCAAACCAATCTAAGTGGCCAATTTTTTCAACAAATTCGGCATACCTATTGCATTAAACAATATTCATATCATATTAATGTAAATAGAAGCAAAAGTTGAGCAATTGATAAGTAGGTACTCATTGAACTTCGAAATTATTTGGCCAAGACAGTTTACAGAGCCTACAAACACTTGACTACGACTACGCTCATTGCTGAAATGATTTGAATATCCAGCTGGTGTTATGGAGTTACCGAAATTAGATTAACACAACGCGTATATCAACTTAACCTATGATACAAACTGTTAATGTTCTTATATAGTGATATAGGGTTGCAGTACCACTTATTTTTTGGCTATTTAGAATCACTTCTGAGCGGAGAGCAGAAGAAAACCGTATGCAGCGGTAGTTATCATAGCATATCATATCATCATATTCATATCATCATATCATCTTATCCGACCGCCGCCCGAGACATGTCTTGTCGGATCCTCCGGATTCACTCCCGTTGCTTTTAGGATCCTCAAGTACCGGTCACCGACCACCGCCCGAACCCGTCGATTACGAGAGTTGGACGAGCAAACTAGCCCATAGACACAGCCCACATAGTTTCTCTCCGGATCTTCTCAGTGGGTCGCGATTCTGATCCGGTTGTAGATTACGAAGCACTGCTTTAGCTAGGGCTAGTTTTAGCAAATTCTCTCAGGTTGAGCCCGTGAGCTCACCTAGCCGTCCGGATTCAGCTGGAATAGTCTCTTACGCTACCAGCGAATAGGCAGGGAAAAAAAGTAGAATTATATGCATATGTTTTATTTGAATATAACTATAAGTGTTTTGCAAATGCCTTATTTTTTTAATTGCGGTTGACCTATAATCTGAAGAAAATGACGATGTAACATTCTATTATTAAAATAAATAACACACACGGACAAAGGACAAGCAAAACTAGTTCAATCTTCAATATATTTTAATAATAGGTCGATAAAAAAATTTAACTCGCCCTCAAATTTTCGGTAGTAAAAATACAGAACATGTTCATGCTAAAGCATAGGATACATCCTATGCTATACACATACTTACATAGAACTTGAAATAAATCCTCTTCCTACTCCACCGGGTGTCGTGTTCTTCAGTGCTGAGGGTCGTGACCTTTAGGGAGTACTTTTGTTAGAACTATGTTCCTCAATTCCTTACTGTCCTCTGCGCAGTGAATAGAGATATAAGTTTTGAAACAAATAGACAATAGTAAAAGGCAATTTTAAACGTATAATATAATCTAATTAAGGCCTGTTTTTGTGTAATTAAGTGTATTTATTTCATATATGCGCTACATGAGTTGACGAGCTTACCACCCATCTGGTGATAATTGATTACTGGAACCCAAGAGCATATCAATGTTGCTACCTTGCTAGGTGTGAGTTTAAAGTTTAAATTGTTTAACGCCTCTTCCATAAGCCGGAAAAAATTAGCGTTTCACGGCAGAAAATGGACAGGTTGACAATAAGTTTCAAAGGTGCAATAGTATTTATCTTAAGGATTTGACGCGTTGTGTGGGCTTCTATCAGCAAGTAGACAAAACCTTTTTTTTTTTTTTTTAAGTAGACAAAACCTATCTATCCATCTAACTGTAGCTGCAAGAAATGTTAGTTTTTTTTTCATTCAAGCTCCGTTATAACGTTGGGACCGTAGCCGCATCGGTCTATGCCGAAAATACACCTCGATGAAAATTCTTTTACGCAAAATAAAAAGTCATAACAAATATACCTAAAGACAAGAAAAAAGAAAAAAAAACAATAATCTCACGAATGAGTTAACCAAAAATGAATATATGGTTAGTTTATAAATATAATGTCGAGGTGGGAGCAAAAGGTATACCAGCGAAATCTCTATAACTTATTAAAACCTTGGTTTGTGAAGAACTTCTGTAAATTCTATACTGAAACGAGCATCTAATACCACAATAGTAGGTTCCTATAAAATTAGACTAGACAGGGAGAAGATGCATGCATTGAGACGGGCTTCTTAATCCTACACCAGAGTCGCAACTCTACTGGCAATCTCCAAATTCTCTCAGCAACACGACGGACCCGGCACTCGCACGGTGAACCCATGCATTGATAAGATATTCGTCTCACGATTCATATCTATGGACCTTATGAATAATGACCTTCACAATCTAAAATAATAAAAATAAAATATGTGTACACCCGGCTTTATAATTTTGTATACTCGTGGAATTAAACACGTGGCAGATACAACGTGATAAACGGTATTATAAAACATAAGGTAATATCCAAATAGATATAGACATGTACTACTCATTGATTACGATGTACAATCGTTTTGTTAGATTATATCGCAAGTAATCTTCGTTAAGCCTGTATTATCGTAAACTAATTAAAAATTTAATATCTGTCATTGAATTTATTGTTCTAAATCTTCGATTTTGATTTGAATTTTACTGATTTGAAACTTTTGTAGCTAGCTGTTACACGAGACTTCGCTTTCGTACTCGAAGAAAGAGGTTCGTGTTTGTTGTCGGAATGAGTTGTATTTTCGAGATAAAAAGGTAGCCTACATTACTATACTGATCTATAATTATTCGTTTAAAAATCATTCCAATCTATTGCATCGTTTCAACGTGGAATAAAGACAAATGATGATGCTTTCACGTTTAAAATATTAAATGTAAGGATTTACCTATTTGCCTGACCGCTCCCGAAAAGAGTCTGACGACGTAAGGAAGGCCACTTAGAAAATTAAACAAAACACTCAGCAGCCTAAGTTTCACGTCAAAATCTTAACGAACTTCACGAGTATGATGACCTGAGTTTTGGTTTCTGCTACCTGTGGAGTTCAACAACAGTGCGAGTGGATATGGTGGATCCTTAAGAACATGCCAAGGGCACCTATGTTATTTGTGAACTATACTAAGAGCATCAACGGTGTCTGAGTTCTACACCAGTCGGGTTATACTATAGATAATATATTTAATATTTAAGCGGTTCTGCCAGAAATAAATACAATTAAGAGTGAGTACCTCGCACCTCGAATACGAAATTCAGGTTCCTATTAATTTTATGAAAACAGGGTACTATATTTTTACTACATGCTTTACATTGGACCAAGTTAGCCTTCATCTTTCTTTATTTCTACGCCTACAACGTGAGCCTAGATTGTTTGGGATGGCCAATATTATATCATTATCAAGTATATTTCTAAAATTCAACTTAAGCACCCAATCAATAAGTGCACAAATGTGGGAAAATTAAATAAAGCCGCTGCCGTAGCTTCTCGGGTAAGAACCCATTTTTTGGTGGACTATATTTCATCCCTTCTTAGGTAGTTTCATTTCACTTAAAACTGCTTACTACATTTATAATATGAGAAAAAATATAATAATTAGCTTAAAGGTCTCGTTACCCGGCCATTAAATATAATAAAAATCAGGTATATTGTCTATGTTTTGTCAGATAGTTGCTCTTTTGCAGTTTCATTCATAGATTATACACTTATTATATTTGAGATAGATGCGCAACTCTCATTTTTATTTTTGCTTTAGTTAGAGCCCGGGACAGCAGGCGTCGCTGCTGTCGATTATTAGTCTCCCTACCCCCCACCAGGTGGCTTTTTTAGTAATTTTAATATTTTTTATAATTAACTCTCTTTATGAAAAAATCTTATCGTTTAGAATCGCTGAAATTCCCGGTAGTACTTATGAAATANCGCCTTCTCAACCTCTTTACTTTAATAACCTTAAACGCCTTCTCAACCTCTTTACTTTAATAACCTTAAACGCCTTCTCAACCTCTTTACTTTAATAACCTTAAACGCCTTCTCAACCTCTTTACTTTAATAACCTTAAACGCCTTCTCAACCTCTTTACTTTAATAACCTCCTTCTCGACCTCTTTAACCTAAACTCCTTCTCGACTCTTTTAACCTTTCAACTCCTTTATCTCCACTCACAAACGACAACATAACATAACAAATAACCTCAGATAGCTTTATTCAACACTCGAACTCAAATATAACTTTTCATTTCCATAAACTTTCATTATCTTAATATCTTTCACTTGTTAAATTTTCTCACTTTCTTTTACCTATTAACCATTCAATCATTTAATATAAAAACTAAAACCAAAATAATAAAGTAATATTCCTAACATCTATTATAACAAAACCAACAATAAACAAAACTATAAAAGAGACACAAAAGGATATTAAAAAACGACTGTAAATATTTTTGTATCAATAATGTGTAGGTACTTTTTCCACGGCTAGACTATCTATTTTATTAATAGTATAATTAATAAACAATAATATTTTTATGATCACCCCCTTAATTGTTTGTGTGTTGAAAAATATCACCTCCTTAATTTTTTTAATTCATTGAAAACACCCCCTTACTTTATGAATTATCCTTGCCTCTTTTTAGTTATATCTCTTGTTGTATATAGCATTTAAATTTCCTTATAAACTAACCCATTTCTCCCGAAACACAAGTTCACTTTTTTTAAAATGAATACACTTAAAGTCTCAAAGTTTTCCATGACCAGATTTTCATTTGTTAATCTGCTATCATTTGTTCCATTTTCATTTCATTCTCTATTATTTCGCCTTTCAACAACATCTTCTCGAACTATACGCCATTTCTACTTTATTACACTCCATTACTATTATTTCCTCTAATATCACCGAAGTCGAGGAAGATTGCCAACCAGGTGGACGGACATTATCAAGGAGGCCACAAACACCAGCGTCCCGGGCGCCATTAAGCAGGCCGAATGCAGGCAGCATTGGAGGAAGCTGGTGCAAAAACTGGACCAAGGTGGTCACGACCCTCAGCAATGAGGAAACGACAGAGAAGAAGAAGAAGAAGAATATCACCTTCTCGAACTCCACTAACTCTCCATTTCTTCCTATTTCACCTTCTCGAACTTCATTACCTCCATTACTATTATTTCCTCTAAAATCACCTTCTCGAACTCCATTAACTCCATATCTTCCTCTAGCACCTTCTCGAACTTCGTCGACTTCGTCTTTACGATTATCTTTATTTGTTACTTATGTTAGTGTTCTCCCTTCTATTACTTTATCTCATGCTCTTATAATAATTTTCTGTTTGGTCTTTCAGCCTTTTATAACATTTTAAATATTTTTGAATGGTTTTATTTTCATTAAATTCATTACATATTGGTTGCTAAGAAAATATTTTTTACAAACAGTTTCGTTTCCATAGTGATGTATGTAGGTTTTTTTTTTCTTAATCAGCAAATTAAAATAAATATTACCTTATAAATTCTGGGCCCATAACCTGTTGGACGGTTATATTTGAGGGGATTGGGTTCTGTAGGTGATGAGGGGCTATTTAAAAACACAACTGCTTCATTATAATTATATTGCAGATTGCTCGAACACTTTTAAACCATTATACAATTATTATCTTTATATTTTTTAATAAAACTATTACATGTTTGTCTTGCCGTGTCTAGATGAGAAGTCACTGACATTTTCTTATGAGAATACAATGATCTGTTTTTTAAAACATTTAAAATAATTCCAATATTCGAAATCTAATCAAGTGTCAAGTGTTGCCTGCCATTACATTTAATATACAAACTCCAACACTTTTTACCCCGAAATATCCTAAATCCTGGTATTTTTTAAATTGTCTTTATCATCCAAAATATCAGCTATTTTTCCCTAAAAAAGGGAGAATTCCCTAAAAGTGGAAGCACTGCTTCAAAGTACGCTACATTTTTTATTGAGTCAGAACTCATATCTGCCATCTAGTGAGTTTATTAGATCATTAATGCCTAAAAGTTACAAAAATGACGTCGCCACAGGAGTAAGATGACGCTAGTTGTATGTTATTTTCCTTTGTATGGGAGTTGCACCCCCCTGGTTTCATTTCAATAGAGTTTTCCAGAAAATACCGAATTCATAACATAAAAGCATTAATAAATTAAAATCGCACTTTCACGAATTCTTAATAAAGGTCTGATTTGAAAAATAAAATAATGACTGTGGATCAGGGAGTCGATATTACAAAGAATGGAGATCGTGGAGTCCTAAAACGCATTACCAGGGAAGGAGAGGGTACCGAAACTCCTAACCAAGGATGCCATGTGAGTGTGCATTATGTTGGGACACTACTAGATGGTACCAAGTTTGATTCCAGCAGGGACAGAAACGAACCGTTCGAATTTTGTTTGGGCAAAGGTAAGGTTTGAATAGCAATAAAAAATGTTTTTATGAATTATTTATGTAGGGTTAAGTGTACTTTATGAACATTTGTTTTTCTGGATTAAGTTCCAAAATGCTGTCTATGGACAAATGAAACCACTTATTCCATCAATAAAGCCCATTAATACCATGAAAAGCACAGATTATTTTTTCGTTCTATTGAATACTGATTCACCATGAGAATTTTCAAAAAAGGATCTTCGTACGAGTTAATATTTTAGGATGATTATTAATACACGAACATCATAGACATGTTGTGTGTGTTGTTGTCCTAGGGTACCCCACTGGTATATACTGGCCTTCACAAGTTGTCTCCACTTTACCCTGTCTTGCGCTTGCTCCTTGATATCACTCCAGGCCACTTTGGCAGTCCTCATGTCACTCTCCACGGTGTGTCGCCAAGTGACATAGACATGTTAATTACATTTAATTTTGTAAAATGACAATTGATTGAAATTTATAGATGGTGTAATAGAAGCATGGAAAATTGGTGTACCTACAATGAAGAAGGGTGAAGTTTGCATTCTGACTTGTGCTCCTGAATATGCCTACGGAGCAAGTGGCAGCCCACCAAAAATACCTCCAAATGCAACGTTGCAGTTTGAGGTATATGATTTGAAATAATACCTATAATTTAAAAGAAGTGACAGGGCCATCTTTCATTTATGTGTGAGGTTGGAATTCCTATTTACCCCCCTAGAAAATCAATGTTTTATTTTATACTATTAATTGGTGTTATATAAAAGAGTACATCAGAGTTAGTTTTAGTGCATAGTTGTAGAGTGATCGCACAGCCTACTTGATGTTAAAGCGGTGGTGTGCAAAATAAAGATTGTGACTACTGTAATAAGAGCCTCCAGAAGGTTGGGGTCACAATTTTTTTTTTCAGTTGATTTAGCAGCTTTTAATACACAACTCCTTCCCTTTGTAGGGGTTCCCCAAAATTTTCATGATACTAAGGGGATTGCTGTCAAAAAAAGTTTTCACATCACTGTGTTAAATAACCATTTAACATTAACCCATAGAAAACATAACAAAATTTTGCCACCCACAGTAACACATTAGGTCGAATTTGCAATTACATTGTATAAAGTATATCCTACACACCAGAATGCATGAACAGTAATGAGAGGTAGGATAGATATTCATGTGTGCATACTAAAATATTTTTTTTAATGGTAGTGATGTAAAATATATTTTATGTATAATATGTTTAAAATGTTTATTGTTTCACTATTTACATTCACTAAACAGTTGATTATTTCAAAATCACCCATGACATCTAAGCAGACTACTTACTGTAGCAATAGAAAAAAAAATTGCTAAATAAATGTTAAAAACGTTGATGAGACAGGCTAATGAAGATTAGATGTGTCTGTTCCATTATACATTGGGAGAAAGGCATAGGCAGATTGTTACAAAGGTTATGGAAAAGTATTCCGTCTATGAATCTGAAGGAGTAAAGAAAATATGATAGTACTACATCTCAAATGGCAGATCAAATTGAGTAAACCTTTTTTTATTATTAACCCTCAGAGCACTGTTCATGGAATATGCTACATAGTCTAGTAGGTCCATAGATTGACGCTAATCGCCAGAAGCTGTTGTGAATAACCTGTACCTTACAATCACTATTTGTTGGTTATTGAATTTTCGAGAACTACGTACGTCGCATCACACACTCATGAATAAATTATAATATATTATGAACAATGAAATTTTTACATAAATAAATTACTGTGGTCAACTTATCAGCATGACAATAAAACCACTATAATAAATTACATCAATCACATATCCTGTTGATTACTTGAAAATAAATTAAAGTTTCAAAATTAATAATTTACAGAAAGAATTCAAAATTTTACAACTTTACATACAAGACAAGAATAATACAAGAAATAAAAAAAATTGGAAAATTTATGTCACAGCTCCACTATAAACAATTTTTTGTCATTAACCAGTGCAACAAGTTAAATAATTGGTCTGGGGTTAAAAAAAGAAAAAAAAAAGTATTCGTTAAGTGAGTCGACTATTATCAAAGGCGGCAATCTGACTTTTGGACAATGATTGGTAAATCAGAAAAACGAATTATTGACTTTGTATTCCATTGGGAGTCACAAAACTCTTCGGAACGACATCTTAGATAAATAACAGGTTAACTATTAACCTTTATTTAATGCAGGTTTTGAACCGTATTCTTTGAAGGAGACGATTATATTCAAATAAATCTGTATTGACATATCAATAAAAATTTTTTGTCCAAATGTACAGATTGCCGCCTTTGATAATAGACGACTCAAGTGTTATAAGTTTAATAGAGTGTTAATTTGCACTTTGGTAGAATTTTTATATATCCCCAGCGCGGAACACAATTTATAATTGGTTCTCCTGCAGAAATATGTGGTAAATACCAGGCAACACACAGTAGCTTAACAGTTATTCATTAATTATTATTTAACTTAATTTTTTTTTTCAGATTGAAATGATTGATTGGAGATTGGAAGATCTTAGTCCTACCAAGAACAAAGGCATACTGCGCCATATCCTCGAAGCTGGTACAGGTCTTGACAGCCCCAACGATGGTGCATTGGTCACAGGTAACACAAACAGATAATTTCTGTAGGTGATTTTGAACAACAATCGTATTGACGATTTTTGTTAGTCTAGTTGTATGTCTAGTAATTGGGATCTTAATTTTTTTGGTATCAGTGGCTTGGAGTCTTAGTTTGAGTATAGTGTAGTTATTGTCAAGATATTTTTGTAAAAATATTTTACTGTTTTAAAAGTAAAGTACTAAAGAGTAACTCTCTCATTTTCTACTGAAACTCCACCACCATAATACATTATTTTTTAAATATGCTTATTACTATTTTCATATTGTTTGAACAGTTGAACTAGAAGGGAGACTGCAAGGTGATAGCAAAATATTCGATCAGAGAACAGTAACATTTTCACTCGGTGAAGGTACCGAACACAATATATGCGAAGGTATAGAACGAGCTCTAGAGAAATTTTTGAAAGATGAGAAATCCCGGTTAATTATCCAGCCTAAATATGCCTTTAAGTCCGAAGGGAATTCAGAATTGGGTGTCCCGCCTAATTCTGTCGTAGAATATGTAGTCAAATTGAACAATTTTGAAAGAGCCAAAGACTCTTGGTCAATGGACGGAAATGAAAAACTGGAGCAAGCTAAGATCTTTAAGGAGAAAGGAACAAACTATTTCAAACAGAACAAATTTCAGTTAGCCATCAAAACGTATAAGCGGGCCGTGTCTTTTGTTGATGGTAAGTTATCTATTTATTTTTTCAATATTTTCCATTGAATGTCAAAGTTGCTCATTTCATATATTTGGACATACAAATTCACATCAGAGCAGAGGTAAAGTTGAGGAGTAACCTGAACCCACTGAAAGTCACTTTGAGACATGCATGTTTATAGTTCATAAAATATCTAATTCATAAGGAAAGTAATGCTGCTCAGAACAGACTACCATTTTATTTTTTTACCTAATTACTAGTAGTCTAGTTGAAGTCATGGTGGCCTAAGGGATAAAACGCCTGGTGCAATTGTATCAACTGATGCATCGGTGTTCGAATCCTGCAGGCAGGTAAACATTTTTGTAATGAAATACGTACCTGAGAATTGTTCACGATTGACTTCCACGGTGAACAAATAACATCGTGCAATAAAAATGAAACCCGCAAAAATATAATTTGCGAAATTACTGGTGGTAGGAACGTCTTGTGAGTCCGCACGGGTAGGTGCCACTGTCCTGCCTATTTGGTACACCACACCGTAACCCGGTCCCCATCTATCTTTAGACATTGTTGTGGCATGCAACCTCTTTGACAGGACATAAGACTCACAATGACTAGACAATTTTACTGGTGGTAAGACCTCTTATGAGTCCGCACGGATAGATACCACCACCCTGTCTATTTCTGCCGTGAAGCAGTAATGCGTTCCGGTTTGAAGGGTGGGGCAGCCGTTGTAACTATACTGAGACCTTAGAACTCATATTTCAAGGTGGGTGGCGGCATTTACGTCGTAGGTGTCTATGTAACCAGTTAAAAACAGATGGTCGTGAACTCGTTCATCCTTCAAAGCAATAAAAAAAAAAATCGAGAGGCTGTCCTGGTTTCATCGAAAGTGTAGGTGAGCTCACAGGGCTCAGTCTGAGAGACTGCTAACGTTTATCCTAACAACAGCAGAGCTTCACTGAATCTACCACCGGATCGGAATCGCAATCCACTGAGAAGATCCGACGTCAAACTCAGTGGATTGTGCCTGATCTTTAATTGCACGTCGAACCGTTTGTCGCATTCGACCAGTCTAGTCTGGCACAGCCAGACTAGACAGTGATGGGGCTCTGCTTGCTGAGATTTTGAAATGTTATTTTTTAAACAGTGTACAGCTACGGTCGTTGTATTTATCTCTACATATGTTATAGAAATCTCCAAATATCTAAAACCACTGTGAACGGGATTGTTATTTGCAAATGTTAATGATGATTATCCATATTATCAAAAAGTTGAATTATTTCAACTTTTTTTAACAGATTTCTAAAATGTGAGGAATTCCGTTTTTCTAAATATTGATCATATTACATATGAGTCGACTATTATCAAAGGCGGCAATCTGACTTTTGGACAATGATTGGTAAATCAGAAAAACGAATTATTGACTTTGTATTCCATTGGCAGTCACAAAACTCTTCGGAACGACATCTTAGATAAATAACAGGTTAACTATTAACCTTTATTTAATGCAGGTTTTGAACCGTATTCTTTGAAGGAGACGATTATATTCAAATCAATCTGTATTGACATATCAATAAAAAACTTTTGTCCAAATGCACAGATTGCCACCTTTGATAATAGACGACTCATATAATACATTTATTTGAATAAACAATAACATATTATTTATCTTTTCAGATATCCCCGAAGATGTTGGTGAAACGGCTGAAAACAAAACAAAAGCTACTGAAATACTCCTGTCAGTTCATCTGAACCTCGCTCTAGTTTACTTGAAGGTGACTCCAATCCACCACTTCGAAGCGAAAGACCATGCGACCAAAGCCCTGAAATTTGACGAGAATAATGTCAAAGGCCTTTTTAGGAGAGGTCAGGCTCTGCTCGGACTGGGAGAAGCAGATTTGGCACTAAAAGACTTCCAAAAGATTATTGAAATTGAACCACAGAACAAAGTGAGTTTATTGAGCAATATTTATAGAGACAATTTCTGTAATACAACTACATACATACAATGAGTTAAGTATCATGAGAGGATATTATGCTGTAGTCCAGCCAAACGAGTTTTATGATTAAATTCAAATAAATGCCTTTAACATTCTTAAATAATTTTAATCTTGTTTCCTGTAATAAGAACATACTACCTACTTTGATTTATTAATTAGTCACTAGATTCCTTTATCACATAGGCTTGTGAACTAGCTCACAGCCCACCTGGTATTGAGTGGTTATCGGAGCCCATAGATATCGCAACGTGTGTGGCGCCACCTACCGATCGTGTTGAGGTTTATGCCTCAATTGTATAGTAAATAGTATACAAATTAAACATTTTTGGCTTAGATTTCTATTATATTGAGGGGTGAAGGCTATTTGGTTTAAACAACATTTTTGCAATTCCACAGGAGACATTTAAGTTTAAAATTTGGAAAAAATATTATAATACAATAACTTTTCAGCTATTTAAATGGAGTACTCTTAATTGAAGTTTGCCAAATAAAACGCACTTTTAATTACAAATATAATACGTCGCTTAAACCAAATAACCTTTTACCCCTCAATATGATATTATTCATCCTTCAGGATTTTATGAATATTTATTTCTCTCAGGCAGCTGCCAATCAGATAATAGTCTGTAGAGCTGCAATAGAGAAACAGAAGAGGAAAGAGAAGCAGCTGTACGCGAATATGTTCGACAAGTTTGCGAAGCACGACAACGAGGTAACAGGTTCGCGCTCTCTGGACATATACTTTTCGGTTGCATGTTTATTTTTATTTTATATTGGAGTGAAATTGATTTGGGCACCAGCGGCGTCGATGATCAGTCAGCCGTCAGTGTTGGCGTTTTGTTTCTGTGCAACTATTTCTTTCTTGAAGATAACAGGACTTTTGTGTAGAAGTGTATGCCTGCGATTGATTCTTTAAAGTTTTTATGTTTATTATCCCCCTGTCGTGATTGCTAACAATGACAAAATTTGGCAGTATAACATTGGCACTAATACATACATTTAATAAAATGTGTACCATAAGATACATAAATTGGAACTAACTTTTAAGTCAGATTGTTAATCAAAATGGAATGTGAGTGCGTGCCAATGATACCATAGTTTACACTAAATAATTTGAATAACTTTTCTCTTAAAGGTGGAGAGACAAAGAGCTAAAGCGGAGATAGACGTGATAGGGGAGAAAGTGGGGGAGTGGGGGATCGGTGAAGGGGAGTGGACAGACGAACAACGTCACAGGAAACCTACAGAATTCGAAAAGGAAAACCCTAACATTCTCATGTTAAACCGAGACGGACAGTTCGAGAACATGTAAACAAAACTGATGTATCGCAGCCTTGGCAAAGTCGTGGTGTTATAATTTCATCCATAACTTGCTACCTCAATACGGCACGTGGAAGTCAAGCACGTGGGACACCTGATGGATCAACTATTTATTGTCGCTTGTTAACGTCGGCCTACCAGTGGCTTGCTTACAAAAGCTCTAGCTTTTTCATCTCATGCAATATTACAAAACGGTTTCAATGAAACTGTCACTCTTTATGATCTCGTTAGAAAGGTATTGATGTGTGTAACCAGACAACGACGGTCGACAACATCACGACGTAACCTCTGATACATGGTGAGCAGAATTATATATATTTTAATAAAGTTAATGTTTATGAGAAAAAGTATTTAAATTTATGAATTAGTAAAGTGATTTAAAAGCAATATTAGTGCAATAATTTTATTGTAACTTAATTTAAGTCGTAGCTGGGAGAATATTTTGGTTAAGCATTAATGTTATGTCAATAGTAACCAATAATAATAGCCTTTGACTGATACTAAATTAACTTAGCGTGAAAACTTATATCTTAACAAAGAACAATCTTAGAACAATTTAGATGTTTTGATAACATATAAACAATAATATTTAAAATGTCAAACGTTTAAAAATATAACTTCTAATATGTATTTTGGGATTGACAAAAAACAGAATTTAGTACAATAAACATATATATGTATACTATGTACCCTTAATTTTTTAAACTTTAATTGCTTTTAGACTGCCTCAATTGTTCTCGATAGGGCAGTGATTTATCAGGCTTCAATTATTCTCAGAACACAGTGATTAAATACTTAAAAATGAATACCTACTTAAAAATGCAATTGGTTGTAAGACGTAACAACGAATTTCGATCAGCTTGTGACAATACTGAATGAAGTAAATGATCTAATGTGAAAAAAAACCTTATATTGTATTAGAAATTACAAATGTCAATGAATGAAATACATTTTAATGTAAGAAGTAGATTTTACAAAACGTTTTGCCATAAAGATGCCTTTTATTATTATTTAGAAGTAAACATAATTATATTACGCACACTTTAGATATAGTTTAGATTATATGTAATGCCTTAACTAATATATATATAGCCTAGATTAATTCAACACATCCCTGTTGTATGAAAAATGTACAAAAAAGAATATATAACTCTTATATTTATATATTTATAAATTATAATTCTGCTCATCAATGTATTTAATCAGACATTTCTGATACATTTCCGAACTGTACTGAAAGTTACTAAGTTAACTATCTACATAAATAAGCGTTTGTTTAAACTATTCTGGAAAGCGAACACAAACTCAGACGGACACAAAAATAAAACATGAATTTAATTAAATGTACCATTCCTCTCTGTTTTTTTGTTTTAGTTGAGTCTTGTTTCTGATAATTTTTAAATAAATGAATTCTGGCAATTATTTTAATGTTATCTATCTTAAACTTACACTCGACATATTTTATCAACATAATATGTTATGTCGACGTTAGCTTAAAGAAAGCTTTAACGAATATCTAGATGAGTCTCCGCTAGAAGGTACAGGGTTAAAAAACTTATTAAAATGACTCGCATTTCTACTGAAGTATATAATAATATGTACATTAGAACCCAGTTCGAACGCATACATCTTGTATTGTTTGTAACTAAATGAGTATTCTCCTCTAACGCTGGCCTTAAGAGAGAGATGGAGATAATTCCCGAACAGTCACGGTCCTAGAATGAGTAGCAACAAGTCAATTTAAAAATGATTGTTCTGTTTGTCAAATGGTTAAATGACTGTTTAGTTTTGCTAGATTTATTACTGTATGTACCTAGTTTGGGGGCAATGTTAAATTTGAATAAAGCTTTTTAAGAGGCAAGTTTTTTATTTATTGCTTTATCTGATGGTATAAAAGTACGCAGGTGTCGATGTGCAGGGTAGTAGGTTTGCAGAGCTGATGTGATGAGCTGATGACCTCCTGTCAGCTGGAATATAGATGATAGCAAGGCTCAATCGACCCCATATTATAAACAGACATCCAAAAATCACAATAACGCATTTTTTTAATTATATTTTTATTTATACCTAAATTTTAGCAATGTTAGCTTTCTTCATCAAATAAAAAAATTAAACCAATTTCGATTTTGTCATAAAAACGATTCATTGCATAATAGTGATTGATAATCGATCTTAGATTACCATCCCTACTTTTTTTTTGATAGGACTAAATCGCCGGACTTACGCCCTCCAGTGGGGATGGTGGGCGGGTATGTCTGAGTCGAACCGACTAAAACCTGTCGCTCAACAAGCCACGTCCAAACCTAGCATGAGAAAGAACTCATGAAAGGCAAAGGGGGAAAAGTGAAGCATTTAGTGCGGAGTACATCTCTCCATCACCCTCCCCCTCGGGACGCTTACTTAAATATTTTTATAAAATTTATTTTTGTATTGTATGAAGACTGCCCTTCCGTTCTTCAATCCCAAGTGCATGACCAATTTGTTGCAGAAACGATCAATAATAAAATAATATTTTCTTACACTATTTTTAATTCAAATTTATTTTCTATTTTTTAGTTGGATTTTTTATAAAAGCATATTTTGTTAGTTTTTTTAAACTATTCTTTTTATAAATTATGTTATTTCTTCATCGTCAAAACGCTAAGTACATATTTACTTAGAAAAATAGTACAAACGATTGAAATATTGATTAGTGAATTTAGTCCGAAGACTATATTAACTTGTACAGTTATCAAAGTTCCAGTCCGTTTAGTCTTAGATTAATCAGAGTTACTGTTCATGAACTCACGAAATCTCTTTATATAGGCTTACTGCATACTAGTAGACTTATTATTCCCATTGGCCCAAAGAAAAAAAAACAAATCCTGAATAAGATATTTATTTTCAAGATATTTTAGTTCTTATTGTTCAATAATTGAAACATACTCTCCAGTAATAAATAGACACATACTGATTTATTGACATTAGAAATATGAATAGACAAAATATAAACTATTACATACGCTGCCGATAAACCTAAAATTCATAATCTTGTCTTAAAAATAAAATGGCCCTTAAACTTTAAGGTATGCGCTTTAGGCTAAATTATTAAAATCGAAACTGAACATATAATTTTTTAAGTTTACAAAGAAATAAGAATTTTGGATTCAGCCACTTCAATTCTAAAGTTGCGAAATATGAATCATAATGATAATGCATTAACAAGCAGTGACATGTTAATTATTTTTTATTGATTTCAATTAGTACAATCAAAGAAGTATCTAAAATATTTTTATACATCTTATAATCACGTCCGACCGAGTTCCACAGCGCGCCTACAGAACCTTAGCTAATGCTATAATATTTTAAAACAAAATATACATTTTATTAAAAAAAAAAAAAACAATATATCGTTGAGACGAAAATCTTAGTTCACACACTACGGATGTCCGGTCCATCGAGTTGCAAAGAGAGGAAATTATCTGAAGAATCCCACTGGAATTTTGACCCTGGTGTGGGTTTAGGGAGACCCTTTAAATGCACATAACATCCACGTCTATCCTCCGCATTATCAAATCAAAAAAAATTTATTCAACATAAATGAAAGTACATACTTGTTGAACGTCAAAAGAACTACCGCCAATTCGCAAGAACTAGCCTCCGTCCTGAGAAGAATTGGCAAGAAACTCAGCGGGCATGTCCCCTCCCAGTTTAATCTAATTTGATAAAAACCGGCTCTAGAGCTCAGTAGGTTCTAGAGCAGGCCTGGGCAAATGGCGGTAGAATTTGGTCTGGCCCGTGAAGCATTGAATATATTATTATTAAAAACACAAATATTAGTTTTTGTCTAACATAAATTGGTGCATAAATTTTTTTAGATAAAATATTAAACAATACTCAAACACGTTATTAGGGCCGGTGGGAGCAAAAATTTTCTCCCGGACAACCGCTCTTTTCAGCACCTCCTAATCGAAAATATTATGATAATTGAACAATTACAAGTATGTATAATAGTCGCACAATATAAAATTAGAAAAAAAACTATGGCCCGGGGTAAAATTTTCATCTGCAATGTGGCCCGACTATCAAAATATTTGCCCATCCCTGTTCTAGAGGTTTCGTTGTTTATACCTGTCGTTTAATAATACATTTTACCTCACTAATTAATGCATTTATTTTTATGTCTTTTTAATGAAAGTATTCGATACTCTTAACATGGTAATAGTCATCAGGTTTGAGCCCCGTGAGCTCACCTACTAATTCAGCGAGTCTAGTATAACCTCTCGCCGTTGCTAGAATAGGTACGAAAAAAAAGCGTAATAATTTTGACAGCCTATTTTTAACGTAGAACCTTGCGCGTTACACGCTCATGTTAATTTAAAACATGTTTTCTTGCTCAAATCACATAAACATTGACACATTTACAACCATTACATACTGTTTTCGTGGTCTGGGCAACTTTCCTCAATAAATTTTTTCCCCTACCTAATCGTTAGTAGGCTAATGAGTTCACGGGCTCAAACTGAGAGAATTGCTAAAACTGGCCCTAACAAGAGCAGTGCTTCAATGAATCTATTACGGCCGTCTGGTGTAGCGGTAAGTGACATGGTCACTACACAAGGGGGTCGCGGGTTCGAATCCGGTCAAGGGAAGATATTTGTTTGATAAATATAAATGTCCTTTCCAGGGTTATGGATGTTTATCAAATATATGTATGTGTATAATAAAAATCTTACATTTATTTCCGTTATCTGGTACCTATAACACAAGTTCTTTACGAACTTATCACGGGACCAGTTAACGTGGCGTGATTGTTAGTAAATATTTATTTATTTATTATCGAATCGTAACCGCGACCCACTGAATAGATCCGGCGATTCCCAATGGCACTTGCTCTGCGTCACCATACGCGGCTTCCAAATATGGTTACCAACTGTCAAGCGCAGCCGCGGACAATTGAGTGGTCAGTCTACTACGAGAGGGGCAAAGGAGTTTCTCATGGCGGGAAAATAACCATAGAGCTGAATTTTATCATGAAAAATTCGAACCCTATCCACATAACCTTGCTAAACATCTAATAGACCACAACCAGATGACTACAAGAAGACTTAGAAGAACAATGCCTCAAGATCCACTAGAATAAAAAATAAAATGGTTACTTGAGATGGACATGTCACTGGACATTGTCATGTACTCACCACCTATGATATTGTTTTTCTTAACACTACACGTAAATATCTAAAGACAGGTTATAGTATACAAAATAAATAAATAAATAAAATCATAATTACATACTAAACAGCTATCTATACAATAAATTTACAACCGACATGAAGTATTGCCAAGCATTTTGAAATCACTCAACTCATCCATTCTTGTTAATTATACAGATTTTTTTCAATGCATTTATTAATTAGACCAGTTTTCAGAGATCGCCCTCAATTTGTCGTTTTTTTTTCAGCAATTAAAAAATGTCATCACTTGGATTACAATTTTCCAATACCAGCTCCCGTCTTCAGGTCGCCGGCGTCCGGAGCCCTGATACGTAGCTGACTTATATCTCCTCGTCTGAAGAGTCCTGCTGCCGAGGGTCGAGGTCCTGGACCTGCTTGAAGTTGGCCAGCACCTCGAAATGCATGTCCAGCGAGTGAGGGGACTTCGACCGGCCATGCATGTATCTATGTATCTGGTCATACAATTGTGGAGTATAATAAACGTAATGAGTCCTTTTGTTGTTGTTGATAAAATCGGTTACGTTGCTACCCAATTGGTATGAAGCGTTTATCAGACAGCACCTTGAGACATGAAGTCAGTCTACCTAGCAGCGGAATCGACCATCAACACCAAGTGAAGTTTCAAGTCGTCGTGGCCTAAAGGGTAAGACGTCCGGTGCATTCGTATGTAGCGATGCACCGGTGTTCGAATCCTGCTAGCAGGTACCATTTATTCTAATGACATATGTACATAACAAATGTTCACAACTGACTTGCACGGTGAAGGAAAAATCAACCCCGAAAATTAAAAATTTGCGTAATTACTGGTGGTAGGATCTCTTGTGAGTCCGCGCGGGTAGGCACCACCACCCTGCCTATTTCTGCCGTGAAGCAGTAATGCGTTCCGGTTTGAAGGGTGGGGAAGCTGTTCAACTATACTGAGACCTTAGAACTCATATCTCAAGATGGGTGGCGGAATTTATGTTATAAATATCTATGGGCTCCAATAACCACTTAACACCAGGTGGGCCGTGAGCTCATCCACCCTCTTAAGCAATAAAAAAAACCAAGAACGCAGTAGAAATAGACAGAATAATAAATGACTTATAATACTCTCAAATCTCTTACTCTCGCTCTAAAGGTTTTAAGTAATGTCGAGAAGGCTTTCTCCTCTCGCCCGATCCAGGGTCGGCTCTCGTCCCTGACTTGGTACGGGCTCACGTGGACGTATATGGTCATATCTGGAAGAAAAAATATAAGGGTTTAACGCGCACATCCCTACTTGTAACACATTACGGATCCTCCCGATCCATTAGCGGTGCTTTTAGGTACCTCAAGCACCGGTCACCGCCCTCGCCGAACCTGTCGCTTGCGACGAAGGGCTCGACGAGTAAATTAGCCCTCAGGCACAGCCCACTGAGTTTCTCGCCGGATCTTCTCAGTGGGTCCCGTTTCCGATCCGGTAGTAGATTCTGCGAAACACTGCTCTTGCTAGGGCCAGTGTTAGCAACACTCCCGGTTTGGGCCCCGTGAGCTCACCTACTCGCCCGATTACGCTGACATAGCCTCTCAAGGCTATCAGCTTAGGTAAGAAATAAAAAAGAACCTATTTGTGCCCTCTCGCGGGTCTCTGAGGGGAGAGCACGCGGGCGCGGGGGTCCGACCGCCAGGCTTACAGCTAGTGAGTTTTAGTAGATAAAGAAAAACTGATTAATTATGTTTACATCAGCTACCTATCTTTTAATTAATAAAGTTAATTGTTAGTTGTTCACACATCATTAAACAATACCTTCGACTGAGATAACTTTAATTCATTATAAGGTTTATTTCAATTTTTATTAATGTTTTATAACCAATTTCAAACTTCTCTCTCTGCAAGTCTACATAATAATAATGATTAAACAATGAAGTGAGTTAAGTTGTCATGAAGTCTCCTACCTAATCTAGACAAGGTTTCCAGTAGCCCCCTAGCTGTGATCCAAGTGTTCTTCCCGCCGGCGTGGCCGCCATCCAGCCAGTACATAGCTTCTATACGATTTATGAACCTGTAAATAATTCAATCATCATCTACATCATCATTCTCCTGATCACCTGGGATCGGCGTAATATGTCTTCTCCTTCCATACTACTCTATCATATACCTTTTCTTCACTCACTCTCCTCTTACACATATCGTCTTTCACGCAATCCATCCATTCCTTTTTAGGTCTACCTCTTCCTCTAAAGCCTTTCACATTCATAATTAAAACTCTCTAACAACCTCATTGTCATTTCATTGTCCATACCATCCCAAAAGCATACTCAACTTCTCTCAATGAAATACATAAATAAGGTCACAAAGAATTTTATATTTTATATACAAAGATTTTTAATAAAAACTTTAAATAGCTTCTATACGGGTCACTGGAACTCATCCGTAGCTACTGAGTAAACACACAAAGTCTTGTAACAGTAATTAAGACTCGACAATAGTCACTCGTATTTATAGTAGAAAGTGTGGGTAGGTCAGTCATGAATTCTCTTGAATACCGTCTTAAGCAGTTGTCGACATGCGTAACATTAATTAAACAGTTAACTTTAAGTATTTCTAGTCAACTAAATAGTGACGTTGCGCTGACATCTATATATGTATAAAAGTATGTATGTCAGTCTCTGATACATATAACACAAGGAATCAGGGCCCCGAAACTACGTTACTTTAGGACAAATATTTTTCTGTATGGAAACTAGCGACATCTTGTAGCGGATACCCTAAACTTATATGTTGTTAAAGTTAAGGCATTTAATTATAATTGTACAACTAAACACAGAGAATAATAATAAATCATACAAGTATTTATTTGTTATAGACAAATTGATTAAATTTTATCAATTTGTGGTTTCTGAAAATTTATAAAATTCTTCATTGCAAATAAAATATAGGATAGGTAACATGTTTCTGCCATCTACAGGAGAAATGAGCAACTAATCAATGCGAAGCCATCTAGTGGCCGACACCTGTAAACATTTTTGTTGACCGCTTGAGTTGCTTATCCTATAACTAATTTATGTGTATTATCTATGCAGGGAATCTCTCTCCATTTGGGCCCGGATGACCGTGCGTGATTTGTTCCCAGTTATTAGTAGTAATAATAACTGGTAATAATAGGTTAAGTAGTGTAATTGTATATTGTGAATAAAATTATTTCCTTACATTATAAGTTATATCAGTTTTCGTGTTGTTTTGTCCTATAGTTGTTAGAAACATTGTGTACATATTCAGCACTTTGTCTTGTTTAGTCGTGCGCACATGGCTTATGTTGCAAGCCAGAATTTGTTTCTTTTTACTTGTGCTTTTATGTATCTTTTTAGCTTGTGATGTGTATTGTGTGCCTAATACATAAATAAATAAGTAATATTAGTCAATTAATTGACAATACAGATTAGATGATGCATTACCTGAGCGCCTTTGAGTCCGAGGGAGTCAACGTACTCGTATAATGAAACTCGTACAGCATCTGATTGAGCACGACGCAGCCCTTGCTGAACCCGACCAGGGTCACGCGACTGCCTTCCAGGGACAGTTTATCCCAGGACACGGGGCTTTCAGAACTGTAACGAAACAAATCGTTAAACAGGAAAACCTGGTTTCGACCACCCATACTTTTTTTTCCCTACCTAAGCTGATAGCCTTGAGAGGCTATTTCAGCGTAACCTTAACTAGTAGGTGAGCTCACGGAGCTCAAACCTGACGAGAAACTCAGTGGGCTGTCTGTGCGTTAATTCTCTCGTCGAGCCCTTCTTCGCAAGCGACGGGTTCGACGAGAACGATGACCGGTGCTTGAGGCACCTAAAAGCACCGTCAGTGGATCGGGAGGATCCGAAATGGCGCACCCATATTGATTTGTGGCCAAAACAACCATAAAATGGTGTCTTGATTTATTAAACGAGAAATCATAAAACTGTGATATTCAAAGGCAAATTATTTCTTAGAGCGCGAACCGTCGATAGATCGACTCTCTATTAATGAGTATAACGTCGAAATACCGACTATTTTCACAGTTTGATTATTGGTATTTGGCATCGACCTGTACGAACGTGTCTTAGGGCGCGCGTGTATAACGTTTTTAATAAGTTAAATAGCGTCTGTAAATAACCTAAAATAAATAATTTTGATGTGAATTTAGCATTACTATTTGAATTTATTTTTTATAAGGTACTTTTAAAAAAAGTATATTGTTTTGCAATTTCTCCAGGACTTTATGGCAGGAACACGAAGAGTGAATTTATGTGATTTGTTTTATTTTGTCTATTTAGTGTTTCTTTAGGCTTAAATGTGTAATAAAGGTGGTTTATGAACTGTTTCATATCTGTGAAAGTTCACAATTGTGGAAAAATGAAACAAAGCCGCTGGACGTAACTTCTCGAGATTCTCCAAAAAGTCCACTGAAAAAATCTCTATAAATGACCACTATTTTACTGAGATTATATTTCATCTCATATCATCAGCTCATCTCATTTCATTTAATTTCATCCCAGTTGATTAATGTCTCAAATTAATCATCTTCATTTCATTCCACTCCATATTATCATTTTTCATAAAAATAAAAATATAAATTAAAATAAAACATGACCTAAAGGTCTTAGTAACCAGGTCATACAATCCCTTATAAAAAAAAAGGAATTTCTGCAAAACATGTACAACAAGCTCAGCACTGTGGCTAGATATTTGACAGATGCCTGAATCTCGTTTACGACATTCTCAAGATAAGCTCGCATATATACAAGTTGCGAACAACAACATTCGGACCGTCGGTCTACCTAGCAATATTACCAGCTCGGTAGAACATCTTTCCTCCGTCGTCATACACAAAACACTAGTGGAAGATCCCTTCCCCGTCATCCCCAAAACACTAAAAGGCTTAAAGAGTTGATATACTGCTGCTTGAGATACAGGTTTTATCACCTAGTTCAAGCACAGTAGCAAATTATGATTGTGTTTCTACTTCTATGTTAATAATAAATAAATAAAATGGTATTTTATGTAATTTTAAATAAGACAACACCGATTGGAACAAAACCTACTACTCACGGCGCGGTTCTCGCGTCCCCCAGACTCCCGGCTCGGTCCGCTCTGCTGGTTGAGGCTTCATCGGGTGAGCTGCACGAATATTTCTGCAATGAAACAACGAAGAACCGGTTGATACCGGATACCAATGAGCCTCGAGGTGACGAATACTTCGTCAGTACGGATCCTTAAAGAAATAAATCGATGCCAAATGAACGTCTTACTGGTGGTAGGACCTCTTGTGAGTCCGCGCGGGTAGGTACCACCACCTTGCTTATTTCTGCCGTGAAACAGTAATGCGTTTTGGTTTGAAGGGCGGGCCAGTCTTTGTACTATTAAAACTGAAACTTTAGAACTCATGTCTCAAGATTGGTGGCGGCATTCACACGGTTGATGTCTATGGTCTCGGAGGGCCACTTAACATCTGGTGGTTCGTGAGCTCGTTCGCCTATCTTAGCAATAAAAAGAAAGAAAATACATTTTCCAAATGCCTGAATCTCGCTAACGACATTTTCATGATAAGGTTGCATATTTTGTAAGGAAGGAAAATCGTGACCTTTTCTTTTAACAAATTACCCGAGAACTATGACCCTTAACGTCTTCCCACACTTTTATCATCATCATTCATCATTCTCCTACCCTTCTCTCAGTCACCTGGGATCGGCGCAACATGTTTTCTATTTCCATACTCCTCTATCATATACCATTTCTTCGCTCACTCCTTTCTTACACATATCGTCCTTCACGCAATCCATTCATTTTTTTAGTTCTACCTCTTCTTCTAAAACCCTCCACGTTCATAGTTAGCACTCTCTTACCAACCTCATTTTCATTTCGTCTCATCACATGTCCATACCATCCCAAACGCGCACTTCTCAGCTTCTCTGTCGCAGGTGCCACTTTCAGACTTCCTCTAACATATTCATTCCGTATTCTATCCGTTCTCGTTACTCCACACATCCATCGCAACATTCGCATCTCTGCTGCATGCTGTAATGTGTTCGCCAAATTTCGCACGCACTTTTCTTAAACACATACGAAAGATGTACTGAGATGTCCGTTGATAATGGACAGTGAGGAAAGATTATGCCAATTTAACGAATGTCAAACCTAGAGATCGGACAGGGGAACGTTCGAAACGTTCGGCCCCCTCCCCGAAAAAAAAAAGGGGGGGTCGGATCTTTTCACCAAGTGTTCGAAAAAATATATAGCTGCAGAGTGAATACAAAGAACCATTATTGAAATAAAATACGATTAATATGCAAAATAATACTCACATTGGGCTGTTCTGGTTGAGATTCTTCTGGGAGCGAAGGAGGAGGAGGACTCGACACATCTTTCAAACGTTCGCCAACCGATTTTATTAATCTGAAGAAAAAAACTTTATGTGATTTAAGATTGTCAATTTAATGTTATTTAGGGTTGTCAACTTAACGTTATTTAAGGTCGTAAGCCCCGTAAGCTCACCTACTAGTTAAGGTTACGCCGAAATGGCCTCTCAAGGCTATCAGCTTAGGTAGGAAAAAAAAGAAAAGACGGACTCCTCGTCCGGTTACCGAAGTCCATAGACCTCACAGAGTGCCAACGCTTCCCTTGAGAACCAAAGTTCTTTATTTTTATTGCCCTTTTAGGCAGACGAGCATACGGCCCACCTGACTGTGAGTGGTTACTGTCGCCCATGGACTTCTGCAACGCCAAGCCGCTGCCTACCGTTAAAAAAATAAGTAAAGTATAAGTATATTGTAAGTATATATTGTTAATTATATTGTAAGTATATTGTAAAGTAAAGGTGTATTGTGCCAATAAATAGTAGCTTTAGCTACACGTGCTTACCTTTCCAGGTGTTGCAGGGCATTGTGAGTGGGAGTGTGTTCCGGCACGCCGGCGTTGTTGCTGGGAACGAAGTTGTCGTAGCAACTGAAGCTTTTGTATTCTATCCTGGGGGGATTCAAATTTTAATTTAACTCGAAAACCCTGGTGTCTTCGTGGAAACTGAGTATTTTATAATGATGCAACAAAACTTCGCGAGTTTGAAATCTAGGACAGCCAATATGGGTTATTTGAGCCAAAGGGTAAAACGTTTCTCAGACACGATTGAGTAAAGCAGCTCTCATTATATAGAAGGGAAAAGTTGTTTGGTTTAAGTGACATAATTGCAAATTTGCAGGAGAGCCATTTAAACTTTAAAATTTGGAAAAAATATCATAACAATAAAACTTCTTCGGCTACATATTTGAATGGAGTAATTGAAGTTCAATTAAAAATATCAAAGTGCTAATACCAAATAAAACGCACCATTCCTAACGAAGATAAATATCGCGTATAGGCGCTTAAACCAAATAGCTTTTCACCCCTCGATATTACGAGTATATAATAAAAAAATCTTATTTTCAATTTCAGCAGTTTAACTACGGTTTCATGATCGGGTAATAAGTGAAATACCTTCAAACAAATCAATGATTTTAGAAAAGAGTACACTTAACACCAGGTGAGCCGTGAGCTCGTCTACAAAGCCAAGCAATAAAAAAATGCTTTTCACAAAAGTGTATATATAAATTCCAAAAACACCCTCATTGTTCGTATAGGATTTTGCTACATGTTGCATACTTCTTAGATACTGTATAGATAGATATAGACGGGAACGAGTTCACGTGCCACGCGGTGTCAAGTGGTTGAACCAGAACCTTGGGGCATTACAACGCGAATACCACCACCCACCATGAGACATGAGGGCGAAGTTTCACGAGTGCGCGACTGCGTCAAGACAGAAATAGCAGGATTGTTGTACTTTTTTTTTATTGCCATTGTAGGCAGACGAGCATACGGCCCTCCTAATGGTATGTGGTCACCGTCGCTCATGGACGTCAGCAATGCCAGGGGCAGAGCCAAGCCGCTGCCTACAAAGTTCACAGTTCCTAATGGCAATGTAATGCAAAGTAGTGTGTACAAGGGTAGGCTTTTAAAAATTCAAAGCGTGTCATTCGCAGAGCGATTTCCTCCATCACGGTTCACCTTAACTCATTATTTGTTAGGAAATTATTTATTGAGAAATCCAGTATTAAATACTTTATATTACAGTTTGAGTTTTTAATACACATGTGCAGCGTGCGCTTCAGGTGTTCCGAATCATACATAATACACATAAATTAGTTATAGATAGGCAGCTCAAGCACTCAACAAAAATGTTTATGGGTGTCGGCCACTAGATGGCTTAGCATTGCTTAGTTTCTCATTGCTCCTGTAGATGGCAGTACCATATTACTTATCCCTTAATTTATTTTTAATGAAGGATTTTGTATATTTTCAGAAACAACAAATTGATAAAATTTAATCAATTTGTCTATAACAAATAAAGACTTGTATGTTTTTCTTTGTGTTTAGTTATACAATAATTAAATACCTTAACTTTAACAACATATAAGTTTAGAGACATCCGTTACATGATGTCGCTAGTTTCCATACAAAAAATATTTGTCTTAAAAAAAATTATTTATTGCTTATATGGGTGGACGAGCTCACAGCCCACCTGGTGTTAAGTGGTTACTGGAGCCCATACACATCTACAACGTAAATGCGCCACCCACCTTGAGATATAAGTCCTAAGATCTCAGTATAGTTACAACGGCTGCCCCACCCTTCAAACCGAAACGCATTACTGCTTCACGGCAGAAATGGTGGTGCGCGCGGACTCACAAGAGGTCCTACCACCAGTATCGCAGTTTCAGGGCCCTGCTCCGAATAAAAGTTACATTTTTCTTAATTCTCACAGCGACACGCGACACAAAGGGCGCTGGAGCCATACGGCCTTAATGTTGTTTTGCATAAACATTCTTATTACGTCATCAATCTTGAATCTCACCTAGATGGCCTAACTATGAGTATGTGCTTCGTCGGGAAGTTGTTCCTGAGCATCTTAGCCACGTTCTCGAGGTTCCACTTCACGTATTTACAGTTCTCGTGATGTGCCTCCATTATTTCTGGGTAGTCCTATAGATCAGACTGCCCATTTTAATGAAATATTTCTAGAAAGATTCATAACAGTTTAGTTAAGACTTTAAGACACGTATTACTCAGACGTCTGCTCTCACTGCGTTCAAACTGTGCTGCCACAGAACTGATTTTGGTATAGTACCTTTATCTATGTATTTATTTAATTTGTTAAAGTGCTAATAAATAAATAAAAATCAAATCGTTAGCGGCCGAATTATTTTTTAATAAATACGTTTTGCGTTCTTGTTAACGACCGACCACCACGACGACTGAATAAAAACTAATCCAAAGCTTGCATCCGCAAAGGAATGTACCCTCATTCTGCTTAGTTTTGGCGGGAAGAAATTATGCGTGATCTGAGAATGAAGTGCTCATGGGTCAAATGGCGTCAAATTACCTAGGCCCATATGTACGTAGCCGTGTAGCTTGTACGTGAGGTCATTACTGACAAGATCTCACAAGACGACCTAGTATCGGTCACAAAAAAAAATAGTATCTCTGTTATGTGACTGTGTTCACAGATAGCTTGTTAGCATTTCACTTTCATTTTCAAGCGCTCAGTAATACAAATAACTTTCTTTTGAAATAACTTTTTTATTTATTCATTTTAACCGATTTAAAACAGAGGTTCGATATTCAATTATAAGTCTTATGCATGTTGTTCGATTAAAATTTTGCAAATTATTATTTGAAAACAATACAGTAAGGTGAACTACGTTCAAGGTGATCGTATTATTGTGTTTAATTAATGTATTCCAATCGAGAAGTCGGTTTTTTATTATTATTATTATTTACTTAGCACATAGGTACGTTGAAATTGACAGTTTAGGATAAATTCATCCTACCCACCTGTATGTCACCACCGAAATAGACCAAAAGTTGCTGGGGTGCAACGCGCACCGTTGCCGGGTGGAACAGGGTGTCGTTCACGCGACCCTTAAATCCAAAGACACGTCGCAACCGCAGCGGCGACTGCTCGTCACTAGTCACACTAGCGACTCTTTGTTCCATCATCGTTAAGGGACGACGTCCAGCCTGGAAGCCATACATTTATTTATTTATTGCTTAGAGGTGTGGACGAGCTCACAGCCCACCTGGTGTTAAGTGGTTTTTTTTTTTATTGCTCTTGTAGGCGGACGAGCATACGGCCCACCTGATGGTGAGTGGTTACCGTCGCCCATGGACTTCAGCAATGCCAGGGGCAGAGCCAAGCCGCTGCCTACTACTGGTACACTAGTTACTGGAGCCCATAGACATCTACAAAGTAAATGCGCCACACACCTTGAGATATAAGTTCTAAGGTCTCAAGTATAGTTACAACGGCTGCCCCACCCTTCAAACCGAAACGCATTGCTTCACGGCAGAAATAGGCGGGGCGGTGGTAGCTACCCGTGCGGACTCACAAGAGGTCCTACTACCAGTAACCAAATTATTATTTTGCGGGTTTGGTTTTTATTACACGATGTTATTCCTTCACCGTGGAAGTCAATCGTGAACATCGTCGTTGCTTAGGACAGACAATTTTATAACCCTACTAATATTGAACGGCTACCGGAAATAAGATGCCATAGCGAATTATAGAATTTCCAGAGACGACTGCTATGTTTTTGGGCGAGTTTTTGATAAAACATTACTGGATTAAAAAAATAAAGTATTTTTATTGGACGATGATTGTCGGCTGAACGCGTGGGTCTTTGGTTAATTTAGATCTTAATACGACCAATAGTGTGAATGTTGTTAGAAATATTTTAACTTTAAATAAATAAATAATAATAAATAAATAAATATTTACTAACAATCACGCCACATTAACTGGTCCCGTGGTAAGTTCGTAAAGAACTTGTGTTACAGGTACCAGATAACGGAAATAAATGTAATATTTTTATTATACACATACATATATTTAATATATATCTGTGGCGTTTAAGTACGCACCTTTTTATGATGCGTAAGCCGGAACGCACGAGATGTGGGAAACAGAATATAATCTGTGACACGAGACCTTTTTACCGCCAAATATTTAAAACGTACAAATAATTTATAATGTGTTTAATAACTAATGTAATTTATTTACTTAGAATTGTTTATGCCGCTACAACAATAAAATTTATATTGTTTCAACTGTGGTGTTAATTACATAAAACACGACTACTGCGAAATAAAGAAGGGACTCTATATGAGCTCCCTTACATCCATAACCCCGGAAAAGACATTTTTAAATTTATCATACAAATATTCTCCCTTGGCGGGATTCGAACCCGCGACCCCCTTGTGTAGTGACCATGTCACTTACCACTACACCAGACGGCCGTTATTACTTATTATAACTTATTATCTAAATAATATAAAACGAAGTCTATGTCAGCCTCTATTTCTTTTAAATTACTCAATCGATTATGGTACGGTCTTCGCTCATCATACGAGACTACTTGTCGAACCGTTCGTTCCGATATCGAGTCGAGGGAACGCGTTCCCGGCCCCGTCACGTCACAGCCGGAGTCCCGCAAGGCTCCGCCCTCTCCCCGTTACTATTCAGTTTGTATATCAATGATATACCCCGGTCTCCGGAGACCCATCTGGCGCTCTTCGCCGATGACACCGCCATCTACTACTCGTGTAGGAAGAAGGCGTTGCTTCATCGACGACTTCAGACCGCAGCTACCACCATGGGACAGTGGTTCCGGAAGTGGCGCATCGACATTAACCCCACGAAAAGCACAGCGGTGCTCTTCAAAAGGGGTCGCCCTCCGAACACCACGCTGAGCATCCCTCTCCCGACTAGGCGCGTCAACACCCCCGCCCCCGCCGTTCGCCCAATCACGATGTTCGACCAGCCCATACCGTGGGCCCCGAAGGTCAAATATTTAGGCGTCACCCTCGACAGTAGGATGACATTCCGCCCCCACATCAAGACGGTACGCGACCGTGCCGCCTTCATTCTAGGACGTCTCTACCCGATGATATGTAGGCGAAGTAAAATGTCCCTTAGAAATAAGGTGACACTCTACAAAACTTGCATACGCCCCGTCATGACCTATGCAAGTGTAGTGTTCGCTCACGCGGCCCGCATACACTTAAAATCCTT